ACCGGTGCCTCCCGGGCTGCCGGGCGAATCGGGATCCGGAATAGGGTCCCACCTCGTGGCTAAAATCCTGGATAGGCTACTGTGGGGTCGCTTTATCAGAATTCCATAATCACTTACTCAGAACTTACTCAGTACTTGAGAGGGTAAAGATCTCGCAACGGCTATCATGAGCTAAAGTCCCTGGAGGGTCGTCGGTGGGTCGGAAGTATGCCAACACAGGCGCGGGCCGCGGTGGCAACCGCCCGCTGCGGGCGACGGTCGACCCCCCTCGGGGGCGAGGTCTCGCCCAAGGCGACCGAAGCCCGGGGGCCCTCTGGCCGCCGGCACCGATGGGGTCTGTGGATCATTGGCCGCTGGCCAGCGTTTCCGTCCAGATTCCCGGGGGGAGCCGCCGTGCGATATCCGCTGTTCGCCAGCGTGCTCGCGCGGTCCGGTCCCCCCACCCGAGGCCCGTATGCACAACATGGTTGATTCCAGCCTACACAATTGAGGTAGTAGATTGGTCAACGTAATTCCCTCCGAGACGCGCGCCTTGCTAACCACAATCTGCAACTCCCGAAAGCTTTTCTTCATGGATAACTCGTATTAATCTACATTAGCCCTCTTCCTGATCGCTCTGCATCCAGCAAGCATTCTGTGAGGAGCTTGAGTCCAGGAGGGTCCAGGCGGGCTGTAGAGTATACGCGGTAGACTAAATGCCCTTCCGTATACGAGAAGATAAAGTGGATGTCCACTTTCCAATCAGCTTTGTCCTTTCTCAAGAGACTATAGGGTCTCTCTCGGATGGCGGCGGGCGCTTGTAGGCTAAATGCGCCTCATATGACAATGATTTTGACGGCGGACAATCAGATAACCGGACGGCTGTTCGCTCTTCCGTACACGGCGCGGACTCTCGCCGAGATCCAGGTGTGTCTGCCCTTGACTCGTATTACCCTGGAAACCGGGCACTTTCTTGATGAATTCGGGTCTAGCAATACAAGCTACTAAGGTGTGATCATCCCGTGTGGCAGACTGTGTAGCATGGGAGAGAGAACGGCCGGGCCGAGTCTGCTTCTCGTGAGGACGGGCCGGTTTTGGCTTAATCGACGGCCGACACGCCGTTGAATTGCATAGGAAAATAGTACTTGTTTTCACCAAAGTTCGACAATGTGATGCTGCAGATTGCTATGAAAGTCACAAGAAAAAGAAAAAAAAAAAAGTCATTACCAAGCTATTCATCCACCAGGCATGTCGAGAAAATTCAACGTTATGAGTAGCTACGCCGCTACCGTCAGTCAATGCCGCGTCCAAACGAGGGGCATCTGCCCTACTAAGAGCCAAGAGCTCTAGGCTACTTGAAAGGCAGAATGGAAGCTTTCTAGAATTCTTTAGCAGGATCATGTCGGGTGGGGAGTCAAAACGTTAGGTTTGTCTCAAAGAAATCTCGGCATGGTCGGGAATTCTGCCCCAGGAGCGGTGAGCTAAATCGCTGAGCCCATCCGCGACGGCTGCTAATTGGCTGAGATCTTCCGTCGCCCTGATTGGCGCTTCGCATATCAGTCACATGACACGTTTTTCAACCGGGGACGGAGTGGTAAGAGGGCCACCAGGGGCAGGTCCAGACAGTAGGACTGAATCAATGCACAGATACCTACATATTCATAGATAGTTACCCATACAAGGGCTCCCACGAGTGCCTGAAAAAGTGCGTAGAAAGGCGGATTACGGGCCCTCGTAGGGACTATGGTTGCTAAATATATAGTACCCCTCTACAGGGTGCCTTGACAACAGTAAAGTAGACCGGTTTTGCAAGAAATCAGGACTACGTAACAATCTCATCACGAAGCTCAAAATCCTATTCGGTGATTGTTAGAAGTGGGTACTGAAAGTAGCCGCAGACGGTCAATAATGCTTGTCAGCGCTGCTAAGTAATCCATCCACGTGATTCCAAAGGCCTTTTCATCTTGTTTACATACGGAACGTAGCTAGTTCAACCAACCAACCAACCAACCATCAAGAATCATATCAAACACGTCCCAGAACCTCCCCTGAAGCCTCTCAGTCCGTTGACAATGTCGCTTCCCAACCGTGTCTATATCTTCAAAGCATCGGCATGGTAGAAGATCAAAGAGGTTGATGATACCTCGGTAGAGGACATCCCGAGAACCCATGTCAACAGGTAGCAAGAAAATGATCTTCAAGTATTATACTCAAGAGGACTTTGGATGTGTTTGTTAGTGAAAAGCTTAGCATAATTCTGTCGGCATTCCTGAGTGATCCAGCCCACGTGATCCGAGGCGATTCACCAAGCGCGTTGCCCAGCTTGAGAACTTAGACAGTTCAACAGTCCAACCACCAAGAATTTAAGAACACATTCAAGATAGCCCGCCTCTGAGGCCTCAGATCGCGTACAAATCCAAATAAACAGGACGAAAGACAGGACAATATCTGACATATTTACCTTTCTTCCTGTAATCACACTGGATGAGGATACTGCTTCTATCTTGACACAATCAACCTGGAGATCAAGTGCAATACCGACCGGTCGATCGCCAGTGTTTCCCCCTCACCATTTTTAAGCAATTCACTGATGGCAAGAACATGTGAAGGGTTTAGCATTGACTTACTTATGTCTCCAAGCCTTTTCCCAGAAGATGGTGTGTCTCGACTCATATGCACTGCACCATAAAAGCTAGGACTTCATAAGTACACTGCTAAATCCTCAAGTACCGTTAATATTGGGACTTCTTGAGCTACGATACTTTACCCGAGATTATCTGGACATGACGGAGGAAAAGCGTTTCGACGAAGAAAAATGAATCCATCAAGAGATGTCGATGACTTGTCAAGAAGATTAGTCGAGCAAATCATTTCAATATTGGCAGTTTGGATCGGCTGATTGTCATCAGAAGTAAGTCTTTCAAACTCGCAATGTCAATTTTTGGTATCCGGCTAAAGAGACAAACAACACCGTGTTTCCAATTTCAATAAATGCTCATCCCAACTTGTACAGGCCACGAGGACCTCACATCGACATAAAATGCGAGAAGGTTAATGGTTTCCAGAGGAGATCTAGAGTAGCTAGCTACCAGTAGATAATTGATTGCATGTGGCATTTTCTTGGTCAGCCTTTAGCCTAAATACGTGGTTCATATTGTCTTCCGCATCGTTGTCCTCCTTTCGCAACACAAAACGGCCTCCCAATGGACGCTCTCTACGCAGTACATTTGACAGCTTTGAGCTCTTCGTTCTCTCAGGACGATGATGAGTCGAAAGCAGTCGAGTATTCAAGGCCAATCGATTGAACAAAATGGAGCATATCACTCTGGATTTGGAAGTGGTGCTACTCTGCATTTGGCCAGCATCGAATCAGGTGCAACTCGGAAGTGTCTTCGAGTATTTCTGAGAGGACCCTGGGGTCAATTAGAATTCGTATTGCGAGGCCGATCCGCGTGCGAGATATCTGCACAAATACACCTTGGGTACGGCTTGGCTCTAGCCTTAGATCATGGCAGTGGTGCATAAGATTCTATTCATTTTACTAACATGAGTCTCGAATGGAGATAGAAATCCGAATACGATTAGTTGGCTGTGTCTGAGCCGAGGTAGTTCCCGGCTAATCCGGCAGGACAGTAAGACCGAACACGATATGAGGTATTTGTCCAGTTCATGTGTGGTGCCTGATTTTAGCCAATCGGTGTGAATGGCTAAATCACCAAGTGCAAATCACTAGGTACTCGCCTTATGGGTCCTCCGCTGATTTATCCAAGCGGGCCCTGGATCTCACCTGTTCTTAATTAAAGAGATGGCAACTTATGGTTAGCAGCACTCCATCGGGTGAGTAGGTAGGATTTCTACAAGTATTTAAATTAGGTTCCCAGGAACAGGTGCAAGCCCCAACCAATGAAGGGTTGGCAACCGGTGCAACCAAGACATGGCCAAGACATTCCTCGTGCACGGTCCTAACCGTCCTCAAACAGCACAAATCAAGACGGCGCCCCGCAATGAAACCCCCCCGAAAATGGTCTAAGGCACGCACTATTCCCACTAGCGCGGGGAATGCTGGGTTCACGAGGCTGACCGTTAATCTCCGGGGATGCGACAAACCTCACCTTATAATCCCCCCGAACCCCTTGCTTCCATTTCGCCCACCAGTCATTCCAACTACCAGTCATTCTTTTCAGAATCCAGTCACTCGTTTACCTCCGATTCTATCTTTCCTGACTAAAGGCCTTGTTGTCATCTCGAGCATTCTTTGTATATACCCCTTTCTATAACCCACTTGAACCGCACTCCGCACCAGAACTGCAGTCCACCCAACACCATGCGTCTATCCACCCCCACACTGCTGGTGTCGCTGACATCGCTGGCCTCGGCGATCAGCATCACCAAGCCGGGCCTCAATGCCACCTACTCGGCCGGCTCCACCATCACCGTGAACTGGACGAGCGTCGACACCGACCCCAGCTACTTCAGCCTCTACCTGTGGAACTTCGTCTCGTGGCCGCCGACCTACGTGCCCCTGGCGCTGGACATCCCGACCGCCGACCTGACGCACCGCGTGCAGATCCCCTGCGACACCGACCCGGAGTGGGGCTACCAGATCAGCGGCATCAACGGCACCAACGTGTACATCATCTACGCGCAGAGCGAGAAGTTCACCGTCGCGCCGCCGGTGCAGCCTTGCTCCGACGTTACGAGCCCTTCGTCTCTCCCGGGGCTGCCGTCGCCCTCGCGCACCCCGGTGGCCGCCCCCACCTGCCCGGCCCCGGCCACGCAGACCGTTTATGTCACGGTGAGCCCCACCGGTTCCAGCTCTGTCTTGCACCCTCACCACCACACCGATCACTATGACCACCACCACCATGATCACTCTGCTTCTTCTATCCTCCCCGCTGCTACCCCCGCGATCCCCGTTGCTGTTGTCCCCGTCGTGACCTCCAAAACCGTGAAACCTGGAATCGTGCCTAAGACTATTGGTTGGTGTTCAGACTACGCCCACCCTGTGACCCTCGGGAATGTGCCCACGCCCACGGCGGCGGTGGTGGAGGTGTCGACCGGGCTGACGACGGCGATGGTGACTGCTGCGCCGAGTGGGGAGGGGGGTGATGTGGTGGTGGAGACGGTGACGACGACGGTTAGTGTGGTGGGGGAAGGGTGTAAGTTTGCTTGAGGATGGGTTGATCAGCCGAGTTTGTGCCACCGCTGTCATATATGTTGTGTATGATATACTGCAGTCGGAGAATTATCTAAACAAGCTCTATCATCCGACACCCATACTTCTCGCCACACTCCACATACGCTCATACACCCATACTACTCACCCACGACCCAACCTAACCCAAACAAACCCTAAGCCTAATCCCACCACCCCGAAGCCTTCACCTCCTCCCCCTTCACCCACCCCCGCCCCCTCCCAGCAATAGGCGTAGGCTGCAACCCCTCCCTGTGATACCCCCCCTGCACCACCCCCTGCAGAGCCCGCACCGGCGACTCCTCCTCCTCATCCGACTCCTCGCACCCGACCGACGCATACACACAAACCAACACCTCAGGCACGACCACCGGCTTCCCCAACCGCTCCAGATACGTGTCAATCTCCGCCCGCCGCGGCGCGATGCGATCCCAGGCCATGCCGATGAAGTAGTTGTACGGCAACAGTTCGTTGAAGAACAGCAGTTCGAAGAGCGTTTCCATCCGCAGGCCGTCGTTGGCACTGTCACCAGCTTGTCCGTCGGGACGTTGCGCCTTCTGTGGGCTGTTAGTTTCCTTGTCCCAGCTAGCTCAAAAAAAAATTACATCGCAGCAATCCTTCCCCCGACAAGAGTAGCAAGTCATGAATTTTCATCTCTCACTGGAACAAGAAAACTGCAACGGTATGCTAGAATGGAAGAAAAGGTCGAACATACCCAGCTAACCAAACAAACCTCCTCCCCCGCCATCCCACTACACGAAGTCAACAGCCCCACCGACCGGACAGGCGGCCGCTGCTGCACCAGCATGCGGCGCCAGCTGGCCTCTGGCCGCATATAGGCGGGCTGCTTTTCGGGGCGCGCGATGAAGTCCAGCGCGTGGAAGGGGAAGATCCACCCGTTCTCGGGCGGGGTGTAATGCGGGGTGAACGGCGGGAAGGCCCATGCTAGGAGAGGGTTCACTGCAGTTCTGTCTTTGTTTGGGCTGTCGGGGGTTAGCTTGGCCGGGCGGAAGAATAGGGCTTCTTGGAGCGGGAGGGAGGTTTGGATGAGGGTGCGCCAGGTGCGGCAGGTTAACTGGGCGGCGGTCAGGAGCGTGCGCGGGTCGAGTTGCGTGAGGATGAGCTCGAGGAGTTCGGGGGTGTTGAGGGTGTGCTGGGTTGGGGAGGGGGAGGGAAGATTCATTTTTTGGCTGTTTTCATACGCTTTGGGCTGTGAGGTTGGGGATGTTCGGGGGATCTGGAGGGGAAATAAGAGAGAGGGAGGCTCGTATCGGCCAGTCAGCCTTGTCCATCACGTGATGTTGTCTTCCTGTTTGACAGCTGGTGGGGTCCTAGCTTGGCTGCCCTCCAAGATTGTTTTGAGTTATTCAATTGAGGCTGAAAGTATCATCCGAGGATGGATGTGTATCGATATAGATCCCAGGCTGGTGCTTGTCTAGATACAGTGCACAGGTAGATGCTCCTGAGGGAGATGATTCTTGACCGCCGTCGCCAGCCGCGTATGACGTATGCACCTTATTAGACACTGTTAAGAGGCTCACAGCGCCCGATGTCTTACATTCATATCGCAGCAAATATCCCATTCCACCGCCTGCGGATCATTTTGACTGCTCACTCCACTGTGTCTTACCGAGTGCCAGGCTAGCCCTTTGATCTTCCCCACAAAAGGGGTTCCACCCTCTCAATCTTGATCCGGCGCCAAGCCTACATGATTTGCAGCCGTTGCACTAGATGATTTGGTTCTTGTAGTTAGTATATGCTATAAGATATAGCATTATTCTGTCTAAATCAGCACATGCAGTATGAATGTATAAAGCTCGAACCGTTGTCCATTCCATTTATCCACTACATAGAACGAAGTCCACCCAGTTTGTTAGGCTATGCACCCTTGCCCAGCAAACAAAGTATTAGAGGAAAAACCAAGTCGCAAGAGGTCTGTAACACGAAGGTCAGAAATTGCTTAACATTACCCAACAATGACAGGAGCCACGGATAGTTCCTAGCCTCAGCCATTCTAACACTCTTGCAAACAAAACCAATAAATCACCACTGCACGATGTAAACACCCCCCAACCCAAACCCTACCCAAACAAATCCTCCGGCCTCACAATCTCCCTCCGCAACATCTCCGCCACCACCGGTCCACTATCGCTATAAAACTGGAACCTCTGAATCCGAATCCCCTCATTTACCGTACTTGGCGTCCTCACAAACCGAAACCGAAACATGCTCTCCACCGCCAGATCCCACTCCCGCCCATCCAAATCCCGCACCTTTCGGTCAGCAGGGCGTTTCCCGTCGGGCAACTCGATAAACAAGGTCCCCTCGCCGACAAACTCCCATCCACCGCCTTCGTCCTCACAGTCCACCACGCACACCCAGCTGGGCTCGTGGTGCGATCCCGCAAACGCCGCGTACTCCTGCCGCATCGCCTCCCACGCGGGCAGCCCGCCCGTGCATCGCTCGCCGTTGGGTTTGACGAATACGAAGTCTGTGGTTACCCAGTCGGTGTAGGGCGTTGTCCAGCTCTGCCGCGTGTCCCAGGCGTGCGTGCATTTTTCCATCCAGGCCAGGGCGGGGTGCTCGCGGGCTGGGTCCCAGTTTTGGGTGCGCGTGATGTAGGCTGGGGTTTTTGGAGGGGTCATTCTTTTGTTTTGGTTTGGTGGAGGTTGGGGTGTTGGGAGGTGGGTTGAGATGTGGATTGATCGGGCTTGTGGTCGTATGTTGTGGTTTATGAGGATTGGGATTTTGGTGGGTAAGTTTACTGAGGATATGGAGGGTTATATACAGGCAGGCATCACGGTCGCTTTTAACAAACTGTGGGTTGGGTCAAGGGATCATGACTACAAAGTTCCGAGCCCATTTGCAAGGATCGCGGTGTATACGAGGTGAAGCGGTGGCATGATGAGTCCACACTTGATAAAGTTGTGTTGCATGAAAGAAAGATCAGTGGAAAGTGTGGGGTAGATTGGCCCAGATCCCCGGGTTAAGGTTGGATCCAGAGATCCGGTCTCGGATATACGAACCGCCACGCACTGTAAATGTATGCCGCCGGTGGTCAGAAGCTCAGGGCTTAGGTGGTTCGTCCATGGTTGGAGCCATTGTGACTGGAGTGAATTGGTGAGGTCAACAAACTTCAGCTCTTGGTCGTATATTAATTAGACTTGTGACGCGTCGAGCGCGAATTACTCTCATTGGGTTGTTGCCTGCCATTGACTCTGGAGATTGTGCTGTGGCTGGTCAATGAGAGCTATAATTTGTCTTGGCACGGAGAGGAATTAGACCCTGGTACGCATTATGGTCTTGTTCTAGAGTGCAGTCCCATCTTACCTCACCTTAGCCACAGTTCCTAGGTCTACATCACCCTATCATGTCTGGTGTTTTGAGATTCTTCTAAACATGGTTCCTATCCACAGTGCAAACCCCTCTTAAACTCAGATAGCGTGCGAAACGGAGTGATAAATTCCAACCAGGGTCAAAGCAAACAGTCTATGCCTATCTACAGTACCCAAAATACCACAATCTCTGTCACCATCCACTCAACCCCTCGCAATCCCAGTATAACACCCCTCATCCCGCCACAGCACCGTCTTCCGTCCCTCCTTCACCGAATAAACACTTCCGCCCAGATCCGTCACAATCACCTCCCCCTCCTCCCCCAAACACAACCCAATCGGCTCATGGAAATGCCTCGCCAACACCTTCTTCCCCGCCCCTCGATCCCCCAGATCCAACACGTTCAACGAACACCCGACCGGATGCTCCCCACGATCTGTCCAATACAACTTTTGAGCTGGTGCATCAACCTCCAAATCAATCGGTTCCGGCAACCCCTCCAACAAAACCTCGACATCGTCACGCGTATCCGCCGTCTGGCCCGCGGGGATCTCCATTCCAGCCCTGAAAATCCGGCCCTGATTCCCTTTGCTGGGCCCCTTCTGCGTCCAGTACACATACCCCGCTACCACATCGAGAGCTACCCCAACGCACCACCGCGTCATGTCCCCCTTCTGTGCTTCAGAGCCGGCCTGGACCAGGATCTCATGCCCCGACCCGTCAAAGTTGCACCGATGCACGCCCATCCCCTCGCGATCGCAGAAGTAGAGTTTGCGGGCGGCTTCGTCAAGGGTGAGTTGTTTGGGCGTGTGGACTTTTCCCGTCGGGATGAGGGTGCGGATGGCGCTGCCGTCGGCGTTGGCCGAGTGCACGGATCCGTCGTGCGTGGAGGTCGCTGCGCCCATGTTTGTCCAGAAGATGCGCCCCGCGGAGTGGGAGTAGGCGATGCCGTCGGGGAGGGATTGGCCTGTTACTAGCGGGTGCATTTTTCCGGTGGTGCGGTTGAAGGAGAGGATGCGCCCGGCTTGGGACAGGGGAGTGGCGGCGGAGACGTTGGCGCCGAGGCCTACGTCTAGGAGGTAGAGGGTTTGCGCTGGGGTCGAGGAGGACGACTCCGGCGACGACGACGAGGTAGCGGGGACAGCCGGCGTGGCGGAAGGCCCATACAGCCCGCCACCGGCACTCTTGAGCCCTAACTTCCCCCTCGACAGGAAGTGCTCCCGCAGCCAGTCGACGGTCATCGACCCGTCCAGTCCCCGCTCGGTGATGTAGTTGTCCTCGATGAAGGCGACCGTGTCCAGTCCGATCTGGTCCATCAGCCGACACGGCGGCAGGCTGTGCGGTTGCTGGAACATCTCCGTCCACAGCGTGTCGATCTCTGCCGCGGAGCTGACGTCTTCCGCCAGGATAAGTAGGATCTCCCGCTTGATGGCCGCCCAGAGGCGGTTGAAGATGAATCTGTCCCCACATTATGTCAGCAAACCTTCCACTCCTTTTTGTTTTGAGCAGGTATACAAGTATGGGAAGAACGCACCCAGTCGATTCCCGCCGCGCCGTCACCGGGATCAGCCCGCACCCGCGCAGCACCTCGCTCAACCGCGCGAAGTGTTGTGGATCAGTCTCCCCGCAGCTCATCAGCTCCACTGAGCGGATACCCGGGGGCATGGTAAAGTGCATGTTGAGCACGCGGGCGCGGCGCGCGGGTTGGACTTTCTGGATCATGAGTCGTGACTTGAAACTGCTACTGTTCGAGGCGAGGATGCAGTCGCCCGGGGTGTGGGCGTCGAGCTCGGCGAAGATGGCGATCTTGAGGTCGAGTCGTTCGGGGATGGCTTCGATGACGAGCCAGGCGTTACGGACGGCGTCGGCGAGGGAGGTGAACACCTGGTAGTCTCCGAGGCCCGTCGAGACCGGGGCGGGAAGGAGGGCTTCAAACTCCGCGCGGTGGGCATCGATGTAGGTGGCTGCAATGGTGAGGGCATCAGCGGAGGGGTCGCGCATGTGCACGCGGTGGCCGCCGGCGAGGAGGGCGGAGGCGATGCGGCTGCCTAGGACGCCGGCGCCTAGGATGGTAATCGGGCGTTGCATAGGGGTTTCGGGCATGTTTCAATCAGTGTGACTTTGATCTGTCGCACAATGATTGAAATGTACTTTTGTCGCCGCACGGGTACTTATATTACTGCACAGCATTGCCCAAGGGGTTTTTCAATTTTCGTCCCATATCCAGGTGAATTATTCAATCTTGTCACGGCAAACCTGATCGCAATGATCAGTCTTTTCCGCACATATCCGATCTCAAACTTGGTTTCGACTCGCTCAAATCTGATCGGACTGATAACGGATACACCTCGGAGACGCTCGGAGACGCTCGGAGAAGTCTTGAACGTTCCCACTCCGCAGTGACCAAGCCGGTTTGCCGAAGCCAGATCGACGGGCGGGTGAAACGTGATCTGCACCCATTGCGGTACGGGTGAGGACTGCTAGTATGACAAACCTACGGAATGCAAGTGCTTGGCCTGTCTTGGTTTTGCCCGATTCTCCAACTTTCCGCATTTCCGTTTGTTGGAATCTAGTGACATCATAGCATGACAGTTAGTGTGTTACCTTGGTGTAAGAAGTGACAGCGAGGAAGCTACCTCAGACGAACTTCACGGGATGCATCAAGCGGATGAAGAAAGATATTCAAATTAGGGCATCGTTTTGTCCGGGCAATTTTCAATGTCCTTTGCGCCCAGCACTACGCTACCACAAGGCCAAGCTAGCCACTCATTCTACTGCACAATATAACTCGACGATGATAGCTCAATCCCAAGGTTCGTGTCGAACTGAACCAACCCACTCAAAACCCCACCCTCTCTCCCCCATCTCCCTCGCGCCCCCCCTCAACTTCCAACAAAGCCCTCAGCGCCCGCGAATACGGCCCGAAATGCCTCCGATTCGTATCCTCATCGCACCACTCCGACCCCGTTGCCTCGAACCGCAACATCCCCACAAGCCTTTGCACCAACTCGTCCGCTGCCCCCGTTTCCCCAACCCCATCAGCTTGACCATGATGCACCCCCAAACCCCGTAGCGTGACCGCACAACTCACCGCATTATGCACAAACGCCCACGACCGACAAACCGGCTTGGACAGCCGGTACAAATCCAGAAACGCGGTGACGACCCGCGCCGCCGTCTCCATACACTCTTCTACAATCTTTGGATCACGGGCTGCGGACAGATCCAGATACAGCCGGTACATGCGGCAGATGACGTAGCCGAGGTGGATTTGGAAGGCGAGGCGCTCGAGGTGTTGCTGGAGGGTGGCACAGTGTCGTTTGTCGGTGAGGAAACGGGCGGCGGAGGTTTGGAGCGCGAGAAATTGGTCTTTGGCGGTTAGGGCTTGCGCGGGTGTTGTTAGGGGTTGTTGGGCTAGGACAAGGTGGCAGATGCGCAGGCTGCTGGCTTGAAAGGTTAGGCCGCCCTTGGGGTCTTGTCGGGAGAGGCATGGGGGTGCGGTGGTGCTGCCGGGAGTGGGTGGGAGGGCGCTGGGCGGTCGGTCGTAGGTGAAGGAGAGGAAACAGTCTTGTTGGATTAGGGTCCACCTGTTCTGTGGTCAGTGCGGTGCGGTAAGATACACGTCGGCGGCGGGGGGCTTACCATAGTCTACTCCAGCGTGGTTTTTCGGCAGCTGGAACAGATGCTGGTACGTCGTGGAGGCCGATACTTTGCGCGAGACGCATGGTTGCGCCTGCTTGAGTTAACTCTGGTTTCATTGGAAATGATACTGTGGGCGTGGACAACCTACCCATCAAGATCCAGGCGCTGTTGGTGTCGAGATTATTCCGTAGACAGTGCCCGATCAGCGCCATCGCCTGGATCTGCTCCAGGTTGGTCTGGCTGAAGAAATTGGACAGGCGTAGGCAATGGAAGGATGAACACACTGCAATCCTGTTAGTTAAGGAAAGCCTACTGAGTAGGATTCAGACGGACAGAAAACTCTAGAACGCAGATCCCGTTCTTGAATTGGGTCGTCGGCGAACTGCACCCCGCAGGCCAGCATAGCGAACAGAAGCGCCAGCCACGACGAGTCCGGCGCCTTGTCCGGCTTGGATCTGTCTGAGGCGGCCAGCTGCGTGCGTCGTTGCAGAAAGTCCATCAACGCCGTTCCGAATTCGTCGATCGACGCCAGAACCGGGTAAAACGGGTATGCGGTGGTCTGGTACGCTTGCCAGTATCTGAGTTGGTCAGCCGCATTGCATCATAAAATTAAAATTTCACTGCATTGGGGCTATGCCTACCGAAGGATATCCTCATCATCCGGCAACGTCTCGCAGACCTCTCGGCTGGTTGCCTGCGGGCCCCAGAGCCCCGTGAACGGATACGCGCGGGGCACCCCCCCGTCATCCATCATCGCATCTTGCAGCAGCTGTTCCTGCGCCAGCTGCGGCTCCCGGCACCCCAGCACGCTGGGAAAGTCGGCATGGCGCCCCAGGAAGATCGTGGCGCCCGTTGCTTCCTCGACGACCTGCTGTCCTGGAGCTTTTTGTCGGCTTTCCGATTCCACCGGGCCTGAACTCTCAGACACCGGCAGTGAGGGTGAGGCTGGATGAGACTCGGACGCTGGTGCCATGCGCCGAAACTCTTCTTTCAACTCACCAATCTGCCGCTCGACGGCCTCTAGCCGCGCAATGGCTGCAGCTGGATTCCACGCGGCAGGTACAGCTCCCGGCTCGGGTTCGGGGGGCCTCGGAATGTTCTGAGCATCTGATTCTCTGTCGGCTGGGAGAACACGTGTAGAAGCTGTCGGCATGCGACAGAGCTCCGGGTGATTGCGCTTGACGCAGCTGCTGCAGGGCACCTGGCCGCTGCACCGGACCTTGCGGTGGCGGCAGGGGAAGCAGGAGCGGATGGTGCGGGTCCGACGCTTGTCCCGGAGCAACTCGCTCACCAACCTCGTGTCGTAAGGGTATTCTGCGTCGGTCATTGTCTCTTTACCGTGCCGCAAGTGAAGAACGTTCGTGGGAGTGGAGGGTTGGGTTCCGAGAGCATTCATGGCTGTTCGTTGTTAGGTTTCGGCCGGTGGGCCCCGATCACGTCCGCTGCTCTCCGATTGGCTCGGGTGCAGCCGGGGATCCTGGCAGTAGATCTAGTCACATGACATGGATTTGCTGCAGGACGCAGTAGGGTTGACTACTTCTTAGTCTCGATAATAGAAGCAGCATGTAGAGCTCTTACTTACTATCTAAAAGGATACATCTTATTTGATTTCTTCCTCTGAGTGACCTTGGTTTTAGAAGACAGAGACAAGCTTCGCGTCGGCAAGTTTTAGCGCTCGAATACCACTTGACATATATATCCTACGAGAAGATGTAGAAGAAGCAATCTAGCTCGTGTAGGTTAATTGAAGCCGTAACTTCTAACGCGTCGAAAGAAAAAAATTCTGATTGATAGTTAGACATAGCATTATCTATTGAACATTCTTGCCTGATGCAAACAATTTCTTTCTTTCTATCTCTAAATCCAGGCCAAGGCGATATCGAAGTCTTGCTTCCAGGGACATAGCAAAAGCCAACGACAAACAAGAAACACGAAAATCAGTTTCACACGCACATCAGAACAGAAACACCTGATCCGTAGCCTTCGACACCACCCCAGGCGGCTGATACCCCAATCCAACCAAGTTGCCCTTCATCGCCTCAATCATCGGCGGCGGCCCACAGAGAAACACCCGGGTATCCGGCGCCGGCGCCGGGAACGCCTCCTGGATCAGCTCCTGCGTCACGAACCCCTTCCTTCCGTCCCATTCTCCCTCCGGCCGCGAGAGCACATACTCCACGCGGAAACGCTCAGGGAATCTCGCAGCGTAGGTATCCAGCTCCCTGCGGAGCAAGATATCCCCCTCCGTGTTATTCGCGTACAGCAGGGTAATCTCGATCTCATTGCTCGGGTCATCCAGCGACGCGCGGATGATCTGATACATGGGAGTGATGCCCGTGCCGCCGGCGATCATGCCGATGTGGCGGGCGAAGTCCGGCGTGAACTTCATCGCGCCTTTGGGTCCGCGGATCTCGATCTCCTGGCCGAGGGCCATCGCGGCCAGGTGCTGCGTCATCAGTCCCTGGTCGTAAACTTTGATCAGGAGCTCGATGCGGCCCAGGTCGCTGTTGTTGGAGATCGGGGTGTAGGAGCGGGAGACGCTCTGTCCCTTGATGCTGGCGCGGAGGGCGATGTGCTGGCCTGTCGGGAGGCCGAGGCGGTCGTCTGGGTGGGGTAGGGCGAAGACGATGTGGTAGACGTTCGGGGCGATAAGGTCTTTGCGGATGAGTTGGAACTTGCGCCATTGCTTGGGGTCTAGGGGGTGCGTGGCTGTGGCGGTTGGGGTGGTGATGGGGGGAAGAGTGCCGGTGGATTTGAGAGCGGATTTGAGGATTAGGGTGTCGGAGCGGGAGGGGCGGTAGGGCTTGTGGGATGCGAAGCTCTCTTGGACATCGAGCTTGGTGGAGAGCCAGACGGTGAGAGCGCCGGTCAGACTGATTTGGAAAGCGCTGCCAATGCCCACCCCGGACCAGAAGGAGGATCTGGAGGTTGCCCCGGAGGGAAGATGGATATCTTGGAGGAGACGCGGGAGGAACAGGTGAGGCTGGCACAGTATCTCGAGCCCGTTACTGTATACACCATAGCCCAGTCCGGCAGCCAGACCGAGAGGAATGGCCGCGAGGAGCGATTTGACTAGAAGGCCAAGGGTGGAGCGTTGTCGCTTGCGCACGTCGACTGCAGCGGCCTGGGAGACTTTCTCGAAGGTCGGACGATACACCTCGATGGCTTCGGCTTGGTCCTACAGTTCGGTCAGACAACTCTGTTAGACTTGAAGCGCAAGAAATATACCTCAGCTGCAAGCTCCCCGACCAGATATGGCCCGAGAAGCTCGCGTGCTTCGTCCGAGTGTCCTATTTCCTCGAAGGCCTCGGTGGCATCTAAGCCAGCCACTTCTAGCAAGACAGGAACACCACCAGGGTGGTCATCGAGATAGGTAGTGATGTTGTAGACTAGACGTATGAGTATCGAGGTTGTCAACGGCCACATGGCTGCGAGAGTTCATACCTTTATTGTGCAAAATGATCCAGACATCGTCTTTTTTGTTATGGCTTCTAACCTGCTCGAGGGTGTATGTGGTTGATGCCATGAGGGCTGACGGAGGAAAATTGACGATCAGCGATAACAGATAGTAATAGGAAGGAACAGTCAAGTGCGTTTATGGCGTGAGAAACGCGAGGTTCTACTGCTCATATATCGATTAGGGCAGTGTCAGCCATTCAAGATCTTCTGCCTCGACGAATGGGAATGTTGCCGATTGCCACTGTTAGGAAACCGGGATAGTGGATACCGAACGGGTTTCGAAAGTACTTCGTACGAACCTCGTGCGAAGTTCGGCCGTGAATGATCGCACGTCTCCACACCAATGACGAATCGGAATGGGGGCAATTCAAGTAAATGGTTCGCTCATAGCTTACTCATCGCTTCAGACACTGCAGCTTGATTTACACACTCTGTCCGACACAGCGTACACACAACAACAGCGGCTTTATATAAAGACATAGAATCAATGCCCCCGTTTTTCACGCCGGTATAATCCTGGCTTCACCTATCTGCAAACACCGAACCCCGATACCTTTCTGAAAGGCCCTCCTCACAAGGCTTTTAACAGGCTGTGGATATGTCGCTCAAGACATTCTATCTTATCGGTGACGATGCCTCAGCGCAGGGTGTAGCTGTGCAGCCTTCATGGAAGATTGAAGACCTTAAAAGAGCAGTTGGTCTAGCCCTACATGTAGTCCAGCCGCTGGGTAAGTTGTTTAAATGACCCTCCGTGCTACACAGCTGCGCTAACACCTGTCCTCAGGTATCACATTCCACCCGCTGGCCGACAGTCGGACCCTCGAAACAGTCACTGACGTGCTCTCAACTCCCCTCAACATCGGACTCCGCATCAATGGCCGAGCAGTGCAGCCCCCGCAAGGACCAGAGGGCCTGCCTTTAGTAGGCAGCTTCTATGAGATCTTCCCCGATCATCTGGGCAACCACTACCGACTGTTCCGCAAATACGGCTCGGTGATCAAGACAACCAACATGGGCAAAACCACCTACCTAACCGACGACCCCGAGGTGGCGAGCATCGCACTGCAGGAGTCGATCTACTTCACCAAGAACATCAACGAGAACCATCCCCTCTACGGGGTCAAGGACAACACCGCCATCTTTATCGGAGACACAGAGACGGAGAACTGGCGTCTGGCCCACCGCTTCCTCCCACCGGCTATGGGCCCCAAGGCCGTGCGCCACTACACCCCGCTGATGCAGGAGTGCGTCCGCAGTTCGTTCTCCGTGTTTGACGCCCTCGACGCCCAGGGCAGCTCGTTCAACGTGTACCAGTACATGCTCAAGCTCGCCTCCCAAACCATCGGCAAGTTCGCGCTCAACGCCGACTTCGAGCACTTCACCGGCGTCGACGCCCCGCTGCACCCCATCGTGACCAACATCGCCGATCTCCTCTCCCTAAACAAAAAGGTCACAGCCCGGGGCAACTGGTACCGCTCCTTGCCCTTCGGCGACCCAGCCCGTCTCCGCGAGGTCCGCCGGACCTGCTACACCCTACTACAGGAATACATCGACAAAGCGACGGAGTCGGGCATCAAGGACCTCCCACTCAACGAAGCCGCCCTGAAAGCCTCCTGCGTCGTCGACTACCTACTCAACGGGGTCGACGATAAAGGCGAGCACTTTCCGACCCCCCTCATCCTCGCCAACATGATGATCGTCACCGGTGCAGGCTTCACGACCACCTCCGCGCTTCTATCCTGGCTCGTCTACTGCCTGGTCACCTACCCAAGCACCCAGGACCGGCTCCTCCAGGAGCTCGTGGACCACAAAATCTCCCACGAGACAGCCTGGACCCCCGAGCTAGCACATAGTCTGCCCTACCTCGACAACTTCGTCAAGGAGACCCAGCGCCTCCACAACGCCTCCTTCCAGCCCGGCCGCACCACCAAAACCGACGTCGTGCTTCCGGGCGGATACCGCCTGCCCCCGGATAGCGTGATCATCCCCGCCCTGTACGCCATCCACACTAACCCGGACGTCTGGCGGGATCCCTTCCGCTTTGATCCGGATCGCTGGAATACTGAGGAGGTCAAGCAGCGGCACCGCTGCGCGTACATCCCTTTCGCCACGGGCCCGCGCGGCTGCATCGGGTTCAACTTTGCTCTGCTCGAGGTTAAGGTTCTGCTGTCTGAGCTGGTGTATCGGTATGAGTTTACCCGTGAGGGGCTGGAGACGGTCGAGTATGACCCTGAGTTTCAGTTGATTCGGCCGTTGAATTTCTATGTCACCGCCAAGCGGCGGACGAGCTGGCCAAAGGCTGCTACGCGGTGAGGGAGTGACGCAGTTGGGAAAATGGGGTTTCAGGCTCGGGTTACGGGGGCACGAATGGTGTAAATAGATACATAGATACATTTGGGGTTAGAGATAGAATCTTAAAGTGGTCGGACTGTGCGCTTCTATCTCATCATCTAAGCCGGACTATAAATTGTATCTGGATGGAAATTGAGGCCATACTAGGGATTGTGTTAGATCAGTGAGCGAGCTGGATGATTTCCTAGTATGTTTACTCTGTCGAGTGAGGACCTGTATGGTCAGAATGGATAAGTAGAAACCGTAAGAGGACAATGATCATCTGTGCTACGGGAACGGGATTACCTTCATCGTGAAGCTGGAAGTGGGTTCTTCATTGGGTGTAACTTTCGGAGAGCAGATCTAAGCAAGGTAACTTCAGAGAGCAGTAGGTCTGAACCAGGGCTGACCTGGAACATTCTAGCTTGCCACATGCAACCCAATCGCAGATTCCTATGAGCGCTCCAGTGCCCCAGTGAAGCCATCGCATTGCGATTGTTAACAGCCCACCCTAACTACTGTACGCTGGCGGACCAGTCCGCGACATTGAGCGTGGCGGGACCACCCGTAAACGGCTCGGTGCCGAATTGAAGCGCTATGCAGTCCAGTCAGTTAGATATCAAAGCTCTCCCACAGACGGAAATCGACCAAGGACAAGGGGAGAGGTTGGGACTGGCTTACTGATGAGATACTGGCTGCTGGCGGGAAAGCCGTGGTTCTGCGTCAAGTATTTGAAGAAGTCGTTGATGTCGCCCTGGAACGAGGTGATCGGGTTCGCGGCCACAAAGCTGTAGGTCTTCTGCGCACCGTTGACGCCATACCACAGCTCCCAGGTCTGGCCCTCGACCGTGGCGGTCGCGATCTGGGATCCAAGGGGCTGCACGCCGCCGTAGCGAGCCAGCCTGATGACGAACAAGTTCAGATATTAGACTCGACTTCCAGGCTAATGACCTGCTGCGCGGTTGATTTCAGGAGGACGGTACATACCAGATCATAAGCTCATAGTCGCCACTCCAAGTGACATGGTTGATATCCGCAGCGGTGAAGAGATCGTAGGCCACGTCCGCGCGGATGCCAGTGTTATCATAGCTCCACCGGGCGGCGGTAGGGATATGGCTGATCTGGCTGACGAGCTTCTTGTTGAAGCTCAGCCCGGAGTTGGCATAGCTTTTGACCGAGTTCTCCCCGCCGGACCAGTTCCACTTCGTCGACCAGGAGGTGCCCGCGCTGGAGGCGGAGTTCACGGTGGTGCATTGCGAGCCGGAGCCGGCGTCTTTGCCCCACAGGTTGTTGTTGATGGTATACACGCCGCCGGTGTAGGTGGCGTATTGATCGCAGAGTTGCGCTTGCTGGGCGACGGCGGCACCGGAGAGAGCTGCCAGGAGGTAAAAGGCCTTCATTTTCAAGGATGGGCAAGGTTTGCTGTGATGGTCGATTGTAGACGAATGAGCTGGTAAGTGAGATAGGGGTTCTGTTGCGAGATTTATAGCTTGGAAATGTATACTGCAGCTGGTGGCTCGGCTTGGATGCTATGCTTGTCCGCATTGGAGACTCTGAGACAGTCAGCACACTTAGCAACTCAAATCCGAAGCTAGTGTATCAAAGAAGTGGAATTTAGACCCACACACCGGAGGTTTTGGTAGGAATGGGATCAGCCCGTGCCGGATAACGCGATTGAAGCGGAGGATGTCAGACTTAGGCTGTATCATGAAAATCCGGGGAGTATTCTGCCAAATCTGGCACACGACTTGGAAGCAGGGCATGATTCATGCCAACGGTATCTTCAAAACGCTCTACATGGCCAGAAGGCAGACTTCGGCACATGTTCCAGGTAATCAATGCTTCGGATGCCGGACGCTTCCTTCAGAGCTCACCTACAGGGTACTTACCTACTGGCAAGTGTACTCATATGAGAGCAATTCTGCAGGATAGACATAAGATCTACTGTACACCTCCGCCTGATTTTAATTTGGTCGTCGCGTTGCTTAGCTCTGTAGCATCATTCATGTCCCGCTAGGGTAAAGCCCCTTCCCTCCCAGGCTAAAGTGGATAAATGAACGCCAGGACGGCGGTCTAGGCCATGAAACCTTAGACTCCCTGCGCGAGATTCCTAAAAGGCCACGACCCATCCAGTATTGTTTGAAGGCTGCAGGGCCCATTGCCGAATCAGTGGTGAACCCTGGCGTGATGTTGTCGGGGAAGCCTCGGCGGCATTGAGGCGGGGGCTGCGAAGGGGCCTCGGCATTGGCGCCCACAAGTTCCGTGAGGGAACCAGGGTCCGTTTTAGCCTGAGACCCGTCTCCGACGGCAGATGCATAGATAGCGTGCTTGGTGTGCGGACGATACGACGTGAAACAACTCTGCCTAGCTGAGGTGGAGACACGCGGAGATGCTCCCGTCGGCAGTTTACAGGGTCTCCAAATTGCCGGCGGGAGATGCTAAGCGAGGGCCGAATCTGCAGGACCAGGCAGGCCAAGGCAGACCAGGGTCCAGCGCGCGTTACTAGTCTGTGTGTTTGAAATTTAGCCTCGTTTCTGGAATGTGGGGCCGGACAGGCAAGCGCAGCTGAGATGTTGTGTCTGATTTCGTTGGCTGAACACTAACTTCCAACTTCCCTGAAGCACCCCCATCACCGTCGCTTTTACTTCTTGGACACCTGGCGTAAGATTGCATAGCACTGAGAATCTAGGAGTCGGGGCTGTCGCGTTATCCACGGGCTGAGAAGACGTGGGGCGGGCTCAGTGGAGCTTGGTAGGGCTTGCTGACAGTCTGCAACATAAATCGAGGTTGAATGGTCCTTAATGTCCAACTCCTAATTCTAGGTACTGTGGATAAAGAGGGTGGAAGCTGAATGGTACAAGTTGTAGGGGACATCACAGTTGCTGCCAAGATCATCCTCATAATATCATACCTAATGGACAGCTCCGTTCTCCACCTGGGGTCACCCACCCTGTGCTACGATCTGCACACCTGATTAAATCCCGTCCTGCAGACCTAGAGCAGTGTTATTGGCCCGAACTAATCAATGGGAAGCCCACGTGCTACAAAGGGGTTGCGATAGCTGTATACGCAGGCGTGGTGGTATAGTTGCCGTCGAAAGCTAGAAGGCTGGACCTGTCCGTCCTACTATATATTTTCAGCTCATTAAGGACTACACGACTACCAGAGCCAGTCCTGCACACAGCTAAATCAACTATCGGCGTCGTTACTCATAACTGTCGTGACCGCTGTAAGGGCGGAGGCGACGGGCAGATCAGCGTAGTCGAGTATGGGTTATTTATGCTTTTAGGTTGCCTTGGCTGGAGTAGAGGTTTCAATCAACCTTCCTTTTTCTTTTTTTTTTCTTTTACAGGTAAGGCAGGGTACTGGATTTACTTTATATTCCGAGGTAAACAGAAGTGGTCAACGAGTTTGTATTGTAATTTGGATATTCTGCTGCTGTTTATCTTTTCCAGTTTTGGACGCATATTAGGCACCTACGTACAACCACTGAGTATAGGAAATTAGACCTCGTGTCCATGTAGATGTGAATAAGCTATGCAGTGAACATGATATAAACTCGCCGAGCTCTAGATTTCTAATATTTTTGATTTGACCTTTGTCAAAACAAGAGCTTTTCCCCGGTCATTCCTCACAGTACTGGAGAGGTGATGAATCTGCCCTAACCATGGGCCATTATGACTATCTTGATACGCTAACATACCCGATGCATTTCTACCCTACTCACTGCACATTTCATCATGGAGGGAGTTACTGATTTGGTAGAGGCGCAAAATAACCTTCGATTCTGAGCTGAATGAATATGTTGAGTAAAGCATCCGTCAACACATCGAAAACAGCTAGAAAGTGAGAACTCAAATACAATCTCTTACACAAGTTGGCCCGCATCCTTTCTACTCACCAGTGGATGTGTCTTATTGAACAAGTTGGTTGGGTCATACTTCGCCTTGAGCAGGCGAAGACGGTCCAGATTCTCGCCAAATAGCTCCTCGATACTGCGGTCCCCAGCTGTACATACCTTCAGTCAGCATAAGTCAATCTAATGTTGAAAGGTGATCGTCAACTCACTTTCGACAAAGTTGGAGTACACCACCGCGCCTCCTTCCTCCTTCCCCTCCCTCTTCTCAGCCTCAGTGGTGATCAGCGCCTTGAGATGCCGCCCTTTCTCCCCGGCGCGCGCATCATCCTTCTCATCCATCCACCAGATCTGCACCACCCCATTTTGACACCGACTGCGGTTTGCAAAGGCCATATCCCCCCGCGGGACTGCAGCTACTTTTCCGAGATTACCGAATTCAAACACAATGTATGACTTCACCCAGGCTGGCTCCTCCTGCAGCGTCGCCCCCAGTTCCGTCAACACCGAGCGGGCCAGTCCAGGCCGCAGCGGCATCGCAAACGAGAAGCCCTTAGTGTTCTTCCGATCTCCATGCACCGCGATCCCATTCAACATCGCATTGACCTGGCAATACGGGACCATGGCTAGGGTATCCATGACGGGATCCAGCTTGAGCAGCGGGGCGAACCGCCGTCTTGCCTCTTCCTCGCTCGTGATCGACACTACGGCTGTGAGAATAGTCGGCCCCGTGCCCCGAGGTGCACCCGGAGGCACTGCGAGGAAGCAGTAGATGGCCGATCGACCATCTCCCCCTAGACCCTCATCGGCCACCAACGCATTCGCAAACCCCACCACCTGCTCCAGCTTGTCCGGGGTGAAGCCCAGCAAGCCCGCAAAAACCTCGTTCTTCTGCTCGTGCGCCTGAAAGGTGAACTCCGTGATGACCCCGAAGTTATGCCCGGCGCCGCGGAGGGCCCAGAACAGATCGGGGTGGAGGGTCGGCGAGGTGGCCAGAACCCGGCCATCGGCTAGCACAATCCGCGCGGAAAGGAGGTTGTCGATTGTCAGCCCGTACAGGCCCGTCAGCCACCCGTAGCCACCGCCCAGCGTGAGGCCTCCGATGCCAGTGTGGTTGACCACGCCCCCAACGGTCGCGAGCCCGTGCTGGCCTAGCGCAGTGTCGACGTCCTCCCACAGCGCACCGCCCTGGGCCGTGATGGTGCGCCCCTCCGGATCGACAGTGACCCCGCGCAGGCGCGAGAGATCGAGGAGAAGCCCGCCCGCCGTGGAGGCAGCGCCTGATGTGGAGTGGCCGCCGCCTGCGACTGCTAGGTCCATTCCATGCTTTTTTGCAAAGGTGATGGCGGTGGAGATGTCGCGCTCGGTGCTGGGGAGGATAACGAGGGCCTAAGGGGGTTATTGTCAGTCGGCGGATGGAATTGGGATAGGTAAACATACAGCGGGCTTCTCTGCACCGTCCGACCAGCGCTTGATCGAGGCGCGATATTCTTCCGAGCCAGGGAGAAGAACGATCGAGTCCGGCAGCTGATCCCGGAGCTCCTGGATAGTACTCATGTTCAACATACTCGGCGACATGGTGGTGAGACTCTGCTAAATCAAGCGAAGGATATTGTGAATGGGGACGCCATGGATTCGTAGCCTGGGATGCGAAGCATTTATCTAGATCTAGATCTTTAGACCACAAAGAAGAGTCGTGGACACGAATACGAGATCACTGAGCTCGAGCTCCGTTGGCGACATACGGATACGGGTTGATTTTCTTTATCTTCCCGCCGCGATCCATGGTTTGCATGAGGCCATTTGGTATCACTAAAACCTGGTGATAGCTTACCTCATAGCTCGAGGTCTGCGTATCACGATATTCTCTTAATTGCCTTTATACCCCACTCAACGGTTCGTATGCCACTACAAGCATATATGTCAACAAAGTATAGAGACGAATGCAGGGATCCATAGCAGGTGGTGATAAACATGCCCTAATTGCCGGGTGATGCCGCGATTCGGGATCAGAACTTACTATGCAGGTCAAAATTTGTAGCTCGACAGCTCTTAGCAATCCGACCCCGACAGCTGGTCACTGAGCAGGCACATGGAAATTATGTTACGCTCAAGATGGATCTCTAGCACATACGACCACAGGGTGTGGAAAACAGGGCTTCCCGTCCGCTCAGCCGTACTTAAGCCACACGCCGGGAGGTTAGTAGTTGGGTGGGTGACCACCAGCGAATCCCTTCTGTTGTATGTTTTTGCTTTTGACTCTCATTTTTGTATCCATTGCTTAGTTGGTTGGTGCCCTCGCCGGTCTCCCTCCGTTCTGTTCCACCCTTCTTCGCCTGGAGTGATACCTAGCCCAATCGATGGCATGCTGCAACCTCGCGCTTAATTCGGGGAAGCTCACTTAGCCGTTTTCGTCAGAAACTCAGATACAAGGAATATTGAGAAAGGTATTATCCTTGTAAACATGATCTTGATCCCAGTAAATCACTATTCCAGAGGAGAGCAACTGCAAAGCATTATACGAGACTCAAACTTCCACAGATTCCCGCAATTGAATCGGTGATGGTGGCTTTTGCAACAGAGGAGGGCTGGAGAAGATGTGCCTGGCCAGAGCCGAAGGACGCCCTAAATACCTGGACCTGACGATCAATATCCTCTATCTAGTAGCAAGCGTAGCTCAACGTCGCACTTATTCTTCGGTAGGTCCTTCACGAGCCATTGGATGACTTGACCTTGAGTCTCATGTTGAGGTGGAATCAGTGAAACCCTGAGAATCTGGGCCCAACACACAAGGCGGGACCGAAGGAGCACGTAGTGCTAGTACATACCATAAGTTATCACTGGTTAATAGCTCAGCTAAAAAAAATCCCCACAGCAAAAATGGGAGACCCTGTTGAAATGGTTGGGTGTAAATGGGGATGTCCTTTTCTACTAGATCATCCGTGAGCATACTTATCTCCGACCGGCATATCCATTACACTCACCAAAAAAAGTATCCCTCAAGATATATGTAATCATGCTCCTAGACTTAACTCCGTATATAGAGACTTGGACTATTGTTCTGCCTGAATTTTAGGGCCTTGTTTCTAAGATCAATTATCACTGAATAAGGTTGTGGCCGGAAAGATCAACAAGAGAAAAAAACTATAGTGCGCTGAACGCAATGTAGATAACTGTGGGACGATCTGTACACCAGTAATTGCCCGGTACTATATTCCATCGCCATCCATTGACGAGCTGGTCCCAGAGAATGAGATTAGGCGTTGAGGAGGAAATTAGGGAAGGTAATACCCTAGAACAATTGGTGCTGTCGATGGAGGCTTCCCGTGGTGTAGGGCCTTAGCAGTAAGTACAATGGAAGACCGGCCTTGTCAGTCCCAGGTGTGGTAGTTCTTCAGACCAAACTGATAGTGAAAGTACAAAGAGCTTTCTTAATATCGTATACTTGCCTGATACCCTCCTCATCCACCCTTCAGTCGTCCTGATAATATTGTAGCTCAGCGTTCGCGTCCTGTTGAAACATAGTATCATTTTCAGTCGATGGCCGATGCCAGTGTTCCCGGGGGCTCGCATGGGTCCACGTCAACTTGCACTCAGAAGTCACATTATGTAGCTGCCCTCGGACCCATAGGAAATGAACATCTTAATTCTCACAGGCCACCCTGCAAGTCAGCATTTAGGGGTACGAAAGAGATAGTAGGGGCGAACTGACCGACCTCAGCATAAATCACTTCGTCGAAGACGGGACCGAGTGTTCGAATTATTCATATCACTTGACAGATTGGCTCAGTCTAGGAGAGTTTTTGCTCGAGGGTTCCATCCTCGCTGCCACCGGCCAACATTTCGCTAATGTCCATTGTTCCCTGTTCCCACAGTCAACTTGACCTTGACCTCTTTACTTCGATCAAGGGTCGTGACGAGGGCCTGGCCTCTCATTGGCTAGGCAGCTCACCGCCTTCGGCCGCCGACGTAGTTGGTCTCTATGGTTTGGCAGGAAGGCATCATATATTCACCTGCGCAGTGGGACATGTCGAATGGAAGAGCTCCGGCAACTTCAGGGAATATCAAATCTGCATTGGCAAAATGTCGAGCATGACTGCTGAGCCGGGGATACGCTACAAGCGAAAGATATAAAAACCCTGGACTGGTTATTGAGTTGCCGTGCAGTCTGCGGCGTGGCGATGATTCATATATGTGTGATGAACTCTTTTTCATTGCACACATTTAAGCATTATTGAGCTGCGGAATGGAAAAAGGTCCTGGATGACTGCTTTCACCGACTTCCGGGGCTGTGTCGTGCCCTGTTGAGTTGGAGTCAAATGTCCGTGGTGACCGGCGATACCTGAAGATATGACCGAACTAGTAGTGATCAGCGGGCGTTAATACTAGATTTAAGCTTAGAACCTTGTCTCAAACCCTGTCTGCTTGATCGGTGTAAAGCATAGATGATGAACGCGTCATGAAGCGCTGATCGCACACGCGTTGTTTCTCAAGTAGGCCTTAAATCAGAGGTTATTGTCGGGACTCGGTAGTCGGGGGTCGGAGAGTATCAAGAGTGGGGTCGGCCGAAGTTACCCCAAGTAGAGGGCAACATTCAACCCACGATTGAGCGGGCGGGGCAGTGCTCCAAATGCAAATTCTAGCCTGTCTTGATACTGGGATATTCGCGCAGCGTGCAGCGTGCAGCGTGGGAAGTCACGTCAATGTAGGTCAAATGTAGTTCCGGAGCGTGGAAAGGGACGTGGAATACTTACGCCACCGAGAAAGTTAGGGTTACTCTGAATGATGCAGTACCTCAGGCATCACCCGCTCCGGTGGGTGGGAAATCTTGTCCCTCAGGGCCAGCCTCTTGTGGACCCTTGCAGCTGCAGGTTCTCATAGACCCAGGTAGTGGAGACGTGCAAGCACTTTCTTTCATTAGCGCCAGTCCTGCCGTGGGTGAGGAGAAGATATCCGCACATAGTGGGACGCGTATGCTACTATACTTTTGGAGGTGTCTTCGTAGATAGAGATTTCTGATGAGATTGTTTTGGTGGCTTGGACTTCAACTTGAAACCACTTTCGAGCTAGAAAGTTCAAAATCTTCGTCGCCAGACCCCTAGCACCACGCTGCGTTCCGTCTCCAGCCATCTATATAAGCTACGCTACCAACCCCCCCCAAAACTCCTTTCCAAGCCCAGCACAAGCCACTTCATCAGTACACTCACTCTACTCCGACATCATGATTGCCAACACTCTGACCGTCCTCGCGATCAACGCGCTGATCGGCCTCTCCCAGGCTGCCCTCACCAACAGCACCGAGTGCGCCGACGTCCACTTCATGCTGGCTCGCGGCACCACCGAGAGCTACCCCGGAACGACCTACACCATGGCGGAGTTGGCGGCGGCAAACATGACTACTCTAAGCTCTAACTACGAGAACATCATCTATCCTGCCGTCAGCGAGACCGGCTCGGACAGCTACTTCGTTGGGCGGGCAGCAGTCGGCAGCCAGGTCAACCGCTATGCCGCGGCGTGTCCTCGCTCGAAGATCGTCCTGATCTCCTACTCTCAGGGTGCCATGATTGTGGGAGACGCTCTTGCTGGCGGTGGTGGCGATTCGACCCTGGGCAACGCGACCGAGCCGCTGATCTCGGAGGAGGTCTCGAAGCATAGTAGGATTATTCCCCTCTTTCCCTCCATGTGTTTATGCAGAGCTGGGATGCGATGTGGCACAGTACATACAGTATAATCTGGCATCCAGACCGTCCCTCTTTCAAGTGACCTTCTTTTAACGGCGGCCCACTAACCTCGGGTCGCTCCTTGATATCTATAGTTGCTGCGAACGTCTACTACGGCAATCCCCGCCACGCCCCCTACCAGCCTTACAATATGGGTAACAACACCTGGAACGTCACCGGAGTAAGTCCTCGCTTGACATCCCCCAAGCTCCCCACGCTTCCTTGCCTGATCACTATTACAAGAAATACCCCCGCCTCGACTACCAGGTCAACTACCTCCACGACCGTTACCGCCACGTCACCGCGGACTGGTGCAACAACGGTGATGGCGTCTGCTCCCCCTCCGAGGGCGCCGACAGCCTGTCACTTCACATGGCGTACGCGAGTGACTATGACCCGATCGCCGCCGCTTGGATCGTTGAGAAGCTTGGTGCCTAGGCTTTAGTCGCTAAGGAGAAGGGCAGAAGAAATGTCCCTTTTCGGGTTGTGCACAAAGTATATAATATAGAGAACTTAGCTTTTCGCCTAAGGACCTCTCCAATAAAGAATCCGAGTCAACTATTTACATTCTCCTATTCTCCTGGAATAGTGAATTGATATCGTGGGCTAAAGATCAGATAAATATCTATAAGGTCAAATTATTTCTGTGGGATTCATGATTTGTGAGCGGACTTTTGACAATGTACTATAGTGTAGTCGTCTAGTCTGCACTCATCAAGGTCCTATCGGGCTGTATCAGTTCAGAGTCAATAGGATAGGCATAAGAATATGTGCTTGTTCCTGCTAAAATCGATGTGTAAGACACCGGAAAATTGTATTATTTAGTGGAATGGGAATCCATTGCCAGCAATTGCCGGGGTTCCACATGAGCGAAGTTATCCAGCGAACAGCTCTCCTAGAAACAGAATCACCCTTGTGTCGACGGGCAAGGCGGCCTAAGGTCCTGAAGATTGCGGACTCCACAGAGCAGCATTGAACATGAACGCCAGGTCCATGGTCGGGAACATCGAGGTGCCCAAGATCGGTTGCAATGGATCCTCGGGGTAGAAGAGATAGTCTGGGTTCGTCGCAGAGGTGTTGAAGTGTTCAGTGAGGGAGGCTGCTTCGTCATTCTTCAATCGCAATGTCTTGCATCAGATCGTCATGCATAGGCAATGAAGGAGGGATAGGATGGAACAGAAGACTCACAGCTGTATTGCTGGAATCAGCAGCGCTTTGCGGATCACGGGGTGGCTGAGAAGTCGGCGCTTGTACGTTCTGCTCTAATCTGCGGCGATCAAGAGTGGTGTTGGTGGTGTTGCCCAAGGCATCTGTCTGTTGTTGCGACCTGGCGCGTAGATTCTGCACGAACTCACGCGCAATGTGGGAGAACTCGGCGGGTGTCGTCGGCGGCAAGGTGTCCTTATCGCTGATATCCCACCGGCTGAAGAACCCGGCTGCTATGTCCAGATAGGCGAGGTTGGTGTTGGTCTCTGCATGGAAAGGGTTGTGTATGACGAAGTCGAAGATGACGAAGACCGCGGAGATGGGGACAATGCCGAGCTCCCTAGTTAGGGCCGTCAGTCATCTGGCAAGAAGTATGACGACAGGGTCAGGGGGAAGCGATACCACACAGGCACATGCGCTTCATGATCAATGTGGCGGCAGTCATAGATCACAGCTCGTGCTGTCTCCATTAGTCGGCGCTTGGTTTCCTGGTCGGGTTCACCCGGTTGAGCGGCGGTGAGATGGATTCGAAGTCGACACAGGGTCATCAACAAGGCATGATAAATGGTGCGCAATTGAAGTACCATCTCATGTGCACATGAATTGCTGAAATTCGCAGACCGGAAGGGTTGACTGGGCCGGAACTCTGGGCTCATGGAGCAAGCCCATGATTCTAATTCGGCGGACATCGAATTGATGGCTGCAATTCGTTCCGCTTTCGGCGTCTGTACCGCACTCACGGAGAAGAGGCGCTTATACATTCTTGACATCAACCGGCCGAGGCGTGCGGTGGTTAAAAGCCAGTCCAGCTGGCCAATTACCGACTCTGGCACATCTGGCACAGGGCAGCCTATGTCGTACTCGGGGATCATCTAGAACATCGCTTAATAGTGTGTCCTTCTTGTTGCGGCATGAGATCATCTTACTGAAGCACGTCCTCGAAAGAAGCATGTCACTTGTTCTTGCCAATATATTACCCAAAACACCCTGTGGCAGAGCTTTTCGTCCTCTGTCGGTATGTAGGCTGCGTTGTAACCTAGGACCTGCACCATTCTTGCAGCCTCTGAGATTAAAGTCTCTCCTATTTGCACACAAGAGAAACTGGATGCAAACAGCGCCTAGTGCCAGCGTAAGCCAATAAAGGTCGATCACAAAGACACTAGTCACGTACCATAGCTGTCAGGGCCTGCGGGAAAGTCAGTGGAGGTTTAGTTCAAGTATGAATGAGACACACCTGAACATTAAACAGGCCTTCGGAAGGACCAAGGAGACTTGGGAATAGTCCCAATGCTACCTGAAAATACTTCCACGCTTTTCCTTGCCCCGGCTTAAAGGAGCCACCTTCTGTGTATTGACATCCCGATGCCAAAACTGTATGATATAACGCACTAAAGGGGGCACTCTCTGCCAGTAGCTCCGCCAGTCGAGGCCCAAAAGCTTGTTGCTCGAACTTACTGCGATCGAGGAAAGGTGCGAGTGGATGCAGAGCTTGGAAATATGCTATGAGACCCACCATTAATATATCCCCACAGCCACGGCGAGGGTCTTAACTGACCGGCAATGTAGCAAGCGGCATCCTCGGGGGCAGCATAGACGGGAGTTTCCGGGCTGCGGAACCTAATCCCAGCATCATGCACATGCTGATGCATATGCTGCCCCATGCCCTCGAGAAGATCTCGAAGTCTCGTGTGACCGAGGATAGTGGTCAGTGAGCGGATGTGGCTCTCGGAGAAGAACGCCATGCCGGTACTAAGGACTAAGCAAAATCGTAAGCTGTTGTGCGAGTCCCGACATAAAGTTGGTGGTTACCATGGTTCTCGTGGGTCTGTTTTGGTAAGCTATGTACAATTGCACTGAGCGAGCGAGTCGAACCTTGAACATAGAGCATGCAGCACGGTTTCTCCCATCTGCGCGTCGGTCGACAAGGATGTGGTCGACATACAGCCGTGAGCCATCCGACGGTGTGGCGGTAGAAAGCGGAGTAGGGATGCCATCAGATGTAGAAAGGCTTGCTATCATCAAATACACATCATTATTCTGAAATCTGTGAACTTAGTTGCTCGCCTCCTACCTGGACTTGGCCCTACATGCGACACCTTGCGTTTTAATTGCCTCCGTGTCAGACTAAAGTTACAGTGGATGTTCCGTTTCTGCAAGAGGCTCAGCGGTCACCATAAAGATAGGCATCTGTTACTGATGCCTTTCAAAAGCGTGGCGTACCTGACACGGGGTACAACGAGGGCTTGTTGGTGGTCCTAACGTTCATATCTAAGTCAGATCAAAGGGATCAAAGGGCAGGCAGGCAGGCAGGCAGGCAGGCAGGCACTCGGGGCAGTGAATAAGACAAAGAATAGAGAAGCGATTTACGTAAGCAGCGAATCTTCCTAGCCTTGCAGTTGTCGCAAGATTTGGCGACTCGAGGTTGAAGTCGGTCCGGCATGGTTTGGGGTTTCAATTGTGTGCAGTTTGCATGGGGGATGGAAGGAGGTTGAGAACCGACGGCGGTCGGCGGTCGGCGGTGACGAGAGATAAGAATGACAAAGCACGGGATTTCTGCCAGCTCCGGGTCACGTGATCTCGGCTCACGGAAGTCCAGTCCCTTTTGGTTTATCGCCTCTCTCGGCTTTCGATCCAACTCCGGCGCATCTTCATCCCATCCACTTCCAGCTTCACCGACCCCATGCAAACACTAAATAGCACTCCCTAGTGGAGGATGGTTAGCACCAAGTGGGGCCTACCATCACCCGTCCTCTGCTGGTGGTGTGGTCTCAGGTACATAATTTTTTAGTTGCCTATCATTACTCTCGTCCTCACCACCTCGGAGTTATAAACCATGGCATCTCATGCTTTATTCACTTTTCGGCCTATGTCGAGTCCCTTGCCCTTCGGTCAATCGTGACACTATCGAACAAACCACTCGTCATGGACAGTCGGATTGAGAAGGTGAGCAGTTCTGATGACGAATCAACAAGTCATGATACTTCATGGCCCGAAAACGGCCGCGAGGAACTGAGAAAGATCGCCACTCGACAGTCCGCCAAATCAGCAGCCGAAACCAAAGGCTCACATGAAGCTCAACCGACAGCTCTCGACCCCCGGAGCCTAGACTTTGACTATCTGGCATGGACAAAGCACCAGGTACAACAGTTTGAGAAAGACAGAACCGCAAGACGAACAGGGGTGGCTTTCAGGGGGGTCACTGTGCAGGGCCATGGCGCGGAAATCCAAATCCAGCATACTGTCGCGTCGAATCTCCTAGCTCCGGTACAGGAAGGTCTATTACGACGTGGCAAACACAAGAAAACAATCCTGCACGACTTTCACGGGTATCTCGAGCACGGTGAGATGCTGCTGGTGCTTGGTAGGCCAGGAGCTGGATGTTCTACTTTCCTAAAAGCCCTGGCTGCCGAGACTGAGGGGCTTGACTTGTCCGCAGATGCAGTCTTCAACTACGACGGGATCCTGCAACCGGAGATGAAGAAGTACTACAAGGGAGAGATATTGTATAATCAAGAAGTCGAGAAACGTGAGCCGACACGTCCCCTCTGCCTCGACCTGACAGGTGAATGCTGACCATACCAGACTTTCCTCATCTCACAGTAAGCCAAACACTCGACTTCGCTGCAGCAGCACGTGCCCCCCAGATTCGTTCCGATGGAATGTCTCGAAAGGAGTATGTCACACATATGCGGGAGGTTGTAATGGCGATATTCGGACTGTCACACACGGTCAACACAAAGGTCGGGAATGATTTCGTTCGTGGCGTCAGTGGAGGGGAGCGCAAGCGCGTGTCCATTGCAGAGATGGCACTGGCAGGGTCCCCACTTTGCTGCTGGGACAATGCCACCCGTGGTTTGGACTCGGCGTCTTCTTTGGACTTTGTCAAGGCACTTCAGATTGGTTCCAAGGTCTTTGGAACAACGCACATCGCCACGCTCTACCAACCATCGCAGGCGATTTATCATCTTTTCGACAAGGTGGCAGTTCTGTACGAGGGACGCGAGATCTTCTTCGGCCTTGCCTCGCAAGCGAAACAGTATTTCCAGAGCATGGGATGGCATTGCCCTGCTAGGCAGACAACTGCAGACTTCTTGACTAGTGTGACGAACCCTACCGAGCGGCAAGCCTCCACAGGCTTTAAGAATAAAGTTCCCCGGACACCGGAAGAATTCGAAGCCTACTGGCGGAACAGCCAGGAATACAAGCAGTTGATGCAAGAAGTCTCGGAGTACGAAGCAAGATACACCAACAGTTCCGAATCCACCCAAGCATTCAAAGAGAGTCATGTCATACGTCAAGCTCGGCACGCTCGTCCAAAGTCTCCTTACCTGATCACTGTCCCAATGCAGATCAAGATATGCATGGTGCGGTTCTACCAGCGTGTTTGGAATGATCTACCGTCCACCTTGACCTTGATGATTGGCCAGATTGTCTTCTCGTTGATTATCGGGTCCCTCTTCTATGGATTACCGTTCGGAACGCAAGACTTTAGCTCGAAAATGTCCGCGTTGTTCTTCGCGATTCTTCTCAATTCATTGCTCACGGTGTCCGAAATTCAGAATCTCTATGCGCAACGTCCGATTGTGGAGAAACATGCTTCGTACGCCTTTTATCACCCGTTCTCGGAGGCCCTGGCCGGTGTGTGTGCAGATCTCCCAATCAAACTTGCAAACAGTCTGGCGTTCAACATTATTTTTTATTTCATGTGTGGGCTACGCTACGATGTTGGTCCATTCTTTGTTTTCTTTCTCTTTGTGACCATGGCTCTATTGTGCATGAGTCAGGTCTTCCGTACCCTGGCAGCTGTCTCGAAGGCGATCCCCCAGGCACTTGCTGCGGCAGGCGTCATTCTACTTGCGACAGTGATCTATACTGGCTACCTTCTCCCACAGCCCAGCATGCACCCTTGGTTCAAATGGATCTCTTATATCAACCCGCTCCGGTATGCCTTCGAGGCTCTGGCTGTGAATGAGTTTCATGGGCGGAACTTTCCTTGTTCCGCCGTGATTCCCGCATACCCGGGGTTTAGCAGCGGATCTGGCCCCTACTTTATCTGTGGCGAGAAGGGCGCGATTGCTGGGGAATTGTTCGTCAGCGGAGATCGGTATCTCTCTGTGAGCTACGGCTATAAGTATCAACATCTGTGGAGAAACTTCGGCATTCTCTGTGCTTTCACCTTTGCCTTTCTCGCTGTCTACCTGCTGGCGACCGAAATCAACTCCCGCTCGTTCTCCAGGGCTCAGAGCTTGCTTTTCCGTCACGGCCATATCCCCCTTGCATTTCAAAGGTACAACCAAGAGTCCGAGGCCACGGTTCTTAGCACACCTCATGAGAAAGAGGAAACAGAACCTCCATTGCCGCCGCACCGCGATACGTTCACCTGGCGTAACGTCTGCTACGATATCGAGATCAAAAAGGAAGAGCGTCGTTTGCTTGATAATGTCAGCGGGTGGGTCAAGCCCGGCACACTGACTGCGTTGATGGGCGTGTCTGGTGCGGGAAAGACTACTCTGCTCAATGTTCTGGCCGGGCGTATTTCGATGGGTGTCGTGACAGGAGATATACTCGTTAATGGATCGCCTCTCGGGGCGAGCGTTCAACGCAGCACGGGATACGTGCAACAACAGGATCTACACCTGCACACCGCCACAGTTCGCGAATCGTTACAGTTCTCCGCCCTTCTCCGACAGCCGAAGTCCGTGCCCGTGGCAGAAAAGTATGAGTTTGTGGAAAAAGGTAAGCTCAGGTCGGAAAGTATGGAGACCACTTCTGCAGTCTACTGACCAAATTCCAGTTATTCGCATGCTTAACATGGAGGATTTCGCCGAAGCGGTCGTGGGCATCCCGGGTGAGGGACTGAATGTTGAGCAACGCAAGCTTCTTACCATTGGTGTCGAGCTCGCTGCAAAGCCTGCCTTGCTCCTGTTTCTGGATGAACCGACCTCCGGGTTGGACAGTCAGTCCTCGTGGACCATCATTGCCTTGCTCCGCAAGTTGGCCTCCAACGGGCAGGCTATCTTGTGCACCATTCACCAACCCTCGGCGATGCTGTTTCAGCAATTTGACCGCCTCCTGTTTCTGGCTAAGGGTGGTCGCACTGTCTACTTTGGCGAGATTGGACCAGAGTCTCGGACAATGCTGGACTATTTTGAGCGCCAGGGAGCGAGGAAGTGTGATAGTGCGGAGAACCCAGCCGAGTATATCCTCGAACTCGCGGGGGCTGGAGTCAATAGTAAGGCCTCTCAGGATTGGCCTGCGTTGTGGAGGCAAAGTCACGAAGCGGCGGAGGTGATGCGTGTTCTCGAGCAAGACCTGTCACGACCTCAGATCAGCCGAACCGAAACCGATCCAGCAACTGAGTCCGAGGAGACCGCTTTTGCCATGCCGTTCAAGGACCAATTCGCTGCTGTACTTCGCCGCATCTTTCAACAGTACTGGCGATCGCCCGAGTACATCTACAGCAAGCTGGCCTTGGGAGTGCTTTCAGCTCGTAAGTTTGATCTACTGTTGCCCTCCACAAAACACAAGTACTAACTCAACCATCCACACAGTCTTCGTCGGTTTCTCCTTCTATCTACCTGGCACCTCGGAACAGGGGCTGCAATCGTCAATCTTCTCCGTCTTCATGATGACCGCGATCTTCACCGCGTTAGTCCAGCAGATCATGCCTCAGTTCATCGTGCAGCGTGACCTCTACGAAGTCCGCGAACAGCCGTCCAAGACCTACCACTGGGCCGCATTCCTCGGTGCTAATTTACTAGCCGAGATCCCATGCCAGGGTTTTGTCGCTGTTATCGTGTACGCCAGCTTCATCTACCCTGTTTACGGGATCGTGGACTCGCAGCGCCAGGGGGTACTTCTGCTCCTTATCGTGCAGTTCTTCGTGTACGGGTCAACCTTTGCGCACGCAGTGGTGGCCGTGCTTCCGGACGCCGAGACCGCGGGCCTAATTGCCACGATGCTCTTCAACATGACCCTTGTGTTCAACGGAGTGCTCGTCCCGCCCGTCGCCCTGCCGGGCTTCTGGACGTTTATGTACCGCGTCTCCCCGATGACCTATCTGGTCAACGCGATCATCGCCACCGGCGTGAGCGGCCGTCCCGTGCACTGCGCCGACAAGGAACTGAGCATCTTCGACGTCCCGCCCACTTATGGTACTTGTGGGGAATACATGCAGGCGTACCTCCAGGCGGCAGGTGATGCCGCGGGTACGCTCCTCAATCCGAACAGCACCACCCAATGCCAGTACTGTCCCCTGCAGGCTGCGGACCAGTACCTCGAGGGCCGCGAGATCTACTACAGCGAGCGGTGGCGCAACTTCGGCCTGCTGTGGGCGTACATCGCGTTCAACGTGCTCTTTGCGCTCGCGATGTACTACTTCTTCCGGGTGCGCTCTTGGAAGAGAAAGGCTTGAGTTTTGTCCAGCGTGCCATCGACGCAGAATCCAGTACGCAGGGGCCTGGCCTATACACTCTGCTATCGATGATCACGAGGGAAACGCTCATTCATTCTGATATTCCCCGGCTCTTTCCATTTCAGTCCAGTTTCCTTCATTCTCTTTTCTTTCCTTTCCTTTCGTCACTCGACTCCACCATTTCCTTGATTTTGTGGCTTGTCTGACATTACCGCCCGATTTTCCTGTGCAGTGTGCATCCCTGGCAACATATCAGACACTGTCCAGAGTTAGAACTATTTTTCCCTTCTGATCCAGACATTTTACAAGCGCATGTTATATAAACTTTTAGAACGGAAGTGCGTCAGTTCATATATCTCTTGAGTCGTCTCATAACTTTGTGCTCTGATCATAGTATAGATGTTAGTAAGACATAAACTTCTGAATGCCAACCATTCTTCATGTCCGTCTCCATCTCTCAATGGCTACTGCCTCACCCGTCGACTGCGCTCTCATACCGAGGATCGTGGCAAGCGACACGATATAGCCAGAAGTAAGATCCTCCAATTCTTATCAATGGCCATAAACCCTTAGATAAACGTAGTCGTAACATTCATCACCGGCGAAAGGTATACCTGCATCACGTGCCGATGGATCAGGCCAGCAGGCCAGCAATAGCCCCTAGTCCGTGGGTTACTCCGGCGGTCCAGGTCTGAGAACATACGAGCTGTTTTCCCTGGAACAATGGTCTGAATGCCCACCTGTAAGTGCACACCCAACCTTGTACGGAATACGTTTCAGAGATTCAGATTCATTACAAGAGGTACCAGTTAAAGGGGGGACTTAAGGTGGCGTGGTGGCCGTGGAAGCTGGAGCTTCCAGTTCCGACACCCGAAGGTGTCTATCCCGAAGAGGCCGCCGTTGCGAGACCCGAGACCCGAGACGCTTGGCAACTGACTTCCGGTGAGATTCATGGGGAATTATTCAACTTGCAAATATCAACTAACAGGCTTACCAATGACTTCGACTCAGTAGGAACTGGATGGACGACGGGAGAAGAAATGGCGACGGTGCGATTGGAGATGAATCTGGGAACAGGGGTATAAATAAATACACGGAAGCTCGTTCCACCGTTACCAGCGTACGCAGAGACAACAACAACAACACCACCACCACCACCATTACCAGATCCCACAATAAAGATGAAGAACTCGCCCCTTGCACAGCCGTTGACGCTCCCATGCAAGCTGCAACTCCCCAACCGACTCGTGAAAGCGGCGATGGCTGAAAAGCTGGCCGATGGAGAAGGGCTTCCAACGAAGACGCTGGAGCGAGCATATGAAAAATGGGGAGGCGGAGGGTGGGGACTGATTTTGACGGGTTAGTATTTTTAAATAGCACTATGCAGTAGGAGTCGGTCTTGGTGTTGCTTCGTTTATTGTCGCTGCTACGATTGTCATCAATACGACGCAAACACGCATCTAGCTAACGGGGTTCTTGTACCACCAACAGGCAACGTGCAGGTTGACCACCGATACCTCAACGGTGCAGGTGACGTGACAATCAAACCCACCACCAGCACAGAGAAGCAGCTCGCTCGCTGGCGCGCCTGGGCCAGCGCCTGCACCACGCCTGGCAACACTCCAGCGATCGTGCAGCTCAACCACCCGGGCCGCCAGTCCCCCATGGGCGCCGGCAGCCGCGGCCTCTGCGCGCGGAACCTCGCCCCCAGCGCCGTACCGCTAGACTTCGGCCCCGGCCTGATGGCCCAGACGCTCAGCCGAGTGGTCTTTGGGGTGCCGCGCGCCATGACGCAAGCCGACATCCAGACGGTGGTGCAGCAGTTCGTTGACGCGGCGCGGTTGGCGGCGGAGGCCGGATTCCAGGGGGTGGAGATCCACGCGGCGCACGGCTACCTTCTCGCGCAGTTCCTGTCGGCGGACACGAATCACCGCACCGACGCTTACGGGGGGTCTGCTGCGCGGCGGGCCCAGCTGGTCGTTGAGATTATCCGCGCCGTGCGCGCCGCGACCCCGCCCCGGTTCTGCGTTGGGATTAAACTCAACTCGGTGGACCATCAGTCCGCTGAGGCGCTGAAGGAGTGCGTTGAGCAGCTTCGGCTGATCGTGGCGGCTGGGGTGGACTTTGTGGAGATCAGTGGGGGGTCGTATGAGAAGCCTACCGTGAGTAATCCAAACCCCCTCTTCAGAATATGCGAGATAGAAAAGGGGCAGGAGGTGCATTACAGCACAGTTTTTGACCTGTTTGTTAGATGATGACCAGTGATATCATCCAAGAACACCGACCCTCAGCTCGGACCCAAGCGCGAGAGGCCTTCTTCTTGGACTTCGCCAAGGCGATCCGGAGCTCGTTCCCAGCAGTGCCTCTGATGGTGACGGGGGGGTTCCGCACCCGCCAGGGAATGATCGATCCCTTGCAGAACGGGGACTGTGACATGATCGGGCTGGGTCGACCCGCGGTGCTGCATCCGACCCTCCCTGCCGAGGTCATCCTTAATGAGCGAGTGTCTGCCGACGAGGCACGGCTGGTCACGGAAAGAGCGCCGATCTCCTGGGCGAACAGGTGGACCAAACTGGCGGTTGTTGGGGCCGGAGAAGAGAGCGTGAGTATCTTCGCTTTCTTCATTCTAGACGTAGGGTTTGCGGACTTAGCTGACCCTGGTTGATGTAGCGGCATTACAGTAGTCGAATTGCAGAGTTGGGGGCTTAGGCTGAATTGGATGACGTGAGTATTTTGACATTTTTAGGTCGAGGGAGGGGTGTGAGAAAGCTTTCCGGAACAGAAGCGTGAGAGAGAGAATGGATTCACCTGGCTTTGAGCCCTAGAGCGATCAACGTAGCACTATCCTGTACTTCCATAACAATTAGATTCAGGAAGACCAATCGATAGCCCTTGAGGGTTGATCGTTATCTGATACATGTCAGGCAACACGTGTCATGAATGAACCAGCAAGAAATATTGAGCAACGAGATGTGAGATGCGAGATGCCATGCCTTCCGGACAAAGTCAGGGTTTGATGAAGCTGCAATTGGCAGGCGTCTGTCAGGGGACCGTCCCTAGCGCCTCAGGCATCCATGTAGTTCAATTCTCCGAAGGCCCGCAGCGTCTTCCTTGTAACATCATGAAATGAATTCTGCATGACCACGATATGATCTTATATCTATTATGTCTCTGCAATGTTGGTAATCTTGGCATAATTGGATCAAGGGAGGCGGGGCCAGCCAGAAAGTTGTTGCCGTTCCTGAGTAGCCCGGGCCACGTGATTCGAGGCGATTCACGCAGAGGACTTACATAGTGACTAGTTCAGCATAACAACACCAGATCAAGCAAGACATTACTCCCTATTGCCCTTTGCTGGGCGTCATGGTTTTATCAACGGAAGCAAGCAGGACAAGCGCTGTGTGAGACAGGATAGAGATCCAACGGCTTTATGTATAGTACCCATCTCGGCAACAACCAAGCCCTAAACAAGCTCAAATCCGGTACCTCGACTATCTCATGTTTAGCGGAAGCACGCTGAAACATATTACATTTGGATGGTTTCTATTAATAGCATAGTTTCGATGGGTACGGAGTAGAAAGGCTGATTTCTCCCCACTGGCAGGCAGCCCGGGCTGACAGAGTCGTCGATGACGTAGCCAGCGGTGCGGGGTCGAGGCCAACCGGGGCAATTCACCTCTAAGTCAGCATGGAGACTTGAGGTATTGGCTAATCGGTCGATTCTCGCATGAAGAGACTGCTAAGTTTCAGCTGGATGCCTAAGGTTTATGGTGTTTACTGCAGCTGTACGGCCAATAGCGGTGATGACAGCTGTCGCCGGCCACTTGGTAGGCATCCCATGGCTAGACATAGAAGGGCTGCTGCTTCTGCCCACACAAGCCAGGCAGCCCCAATCCAATCATCGAGTGTCTGGAGAAGCAATCTGAGCATTAATGATTGAGTCACCGCGCCTGGTTGTTGCCCAGCCAGCATATGTCGATGACTAAACACAGGCAGTGAGGCGGAGGAGCTGCAACAAAGCCTTGTATGCCTCATCGGGCAACACTATCACTTATAATGACTCTCTGTTATTGTCAATCCCCCCATCTCTGAGATTCATCTCATATTCCTTCCTGTCCCTGGATCAGACCCCTAAACCTTACACCCACCCTTCGTTATTCACTCACTGCTGGTGGCTTGAATTGCGCTCGAGCCGCTCTTTCCTTGTTCTTTTTAAAAAGTCCTTGCCAACATGCAGGTCGCGGTAGAAGATGACCTTCTCTCTTTGACCCATTCTTTGTTACTCGACGACACGAGAGTCACTGTCCTGGTCTCTCAAGTTCAATTTGAACCGTATCTTAACCCGTCGCAAGATGAAACTTTGGCTATACTAGGGGGAGTAGATGAGCAGCTTAGATCGTTGCTGCGACGCATAGTTCTGTCACGGACGCATATATCACCTGCAGCTGCGTACCTTGCATCGCTTCTGCGAGGATGCGGATACTCTATCAACCTAGTTGAGCGCCAGCTGCGTCTTTATGGCTCCAGCTACGGTGCGCGAGGTTATGTCGCCGGTCGCTGGCCTCAGGCCCTGGTGGCCTTGCAGCAGTACAAGGTACTTCTCCGTGAAGTGCTCAGGCACTTCAACCCCAATAGGTAAGCACGGCCTCATGAGGATTGTACTTTATCTCCGTCTGATCTAGGCTAAATCTTCAGTCTTCACCCGCCATTCGAGGAACAACCACTCACACCCCATATCGAGTACCAAAACACCATCATCTCCCAGCTTTTGCAAGACCAAGTGGAAGTCGAAGCCTCCTACTGGAATGAGATCTACCAAAGTCAGGATGCAGCTGAAGTCCGCTCAGAATACCCCCCTTCTACCTACGTCACTCCTCCCAGCAGTATCAGGAATGGAGATGACCCAGACGATCCGCCGATTCCCTTACCCCAATTTCAGCCAGGCCAGACCACTCATGAGCTCACTGCACAAGAAGTCCGGCAAGCCAGCGATCGCGAGCGTGGTCGCATCTACACCATTCTTAGATCTATTTGGATCCGTGAGAGTCAAAGTCTACGGGAGCGATCGAAATTCCTGGCACACGCGATCCGTTCCAACAGCGTTGATGGCGTCAGTCTGCTACTCGATCTGGGGATCAAAGTGGACCAACCGTGCCACAAGGATCTGCCTCTGTGCCTCGCTGCTCGGCTGGGACACGATGGAATTGTCCAGATGCTCATTGAGCGCGGTGCCACTGTGGAGAAGCGAAGCGGGTTTGGCAGCACAGCGCTCATGTCGGCGGCGGGGGCCGGGCAGACCTCCACCATCGCTTTACTCCTAGACAACAAGGCCGACATCAACGCTCAAAGCACGTTCAAGGGGGCCAACGGCTTCACACCGCTGATGAAGGCTGTGAAATCAGGGCACCAGAGTGCGTGCCGTCTTCTGATCGATCGAGGCGCAGGCACAGGCATTCACAACGAGGCAGGCGAGTCTTTGTTGCATGTCGCCATTCGGAACGGTCGCTCGGAGATTATCGATCTCGTTCTCGAAAGCCATGTTCAGATTGGTGTAGCGGACCAAAACGGTAATACTGAGTTACACCTGGCTGCCAGCAAAGGACTGGTTGGGTTGTCGACGCTCCTTGTGCAGCGAATGAACACGATCGTCAAAATCGCCAACCACAAGCAGAAAACCCCTCTACATCATGCCATACGCACCAGGAGCCCTGAGCTTGTCAAGCTTTTCCTCGACCAAGGTGCTTTTCCGAATGCGCCGGACCACAAAGGGAGAACGGCGCTCCATTGTGCGATTGAGAAAGATTGCTCGACTCTTGTCCATCTGCTGCTTGAGCGAGAGGCCGATCCGGATTTCCGTGACAAAAATGGCAAGACGCCGCTTCACTATGCAGTGGAGCTGGCTAAACTGGAAATCGTCCAAATTGTGCTTCAAAAAGCGCCCGCGATCAACATTGAGGACACAAATAAGGAAACGCCGCTCCAGTACGCTGTCAAGTCTGGTAACCTCGCTATCCTGCAGCTCCTGGTGGCGCAAGGTGCTGACCCGAAGTGGAAGGTCAGTGAAGGAAAGTCTCTCGCTGAGTTCATCATGGAATTGTCGCTGTCCGAGGAGTTATCGCTCGGTATGCTGCGGGAGCTTCTACGCCAGCATAAGCCCGGGCAACCATTGGCTGTCACCTTCGGGTTTCCTACACTCTCCAAAGCGACCAGCGAACGTAAGTCTGCGCTCGTGAGGTTATTCTGTGACCACTACCCTGAGTTTGTCAATGATAATCCACCCCCGGAGTCGGGGCTCTGCCCTCCGCTTCATGAAGCGATCAAGCAGAGCCACCGGGAGCTAATCAACTTCTTTTGTGGGCTTCACCCAACCGATATGAACATCCTCGATCACGAGGGAAATTTGCCGTTACACCAAGCTGTGGATAAATGGCAAGATGGATTGCTAACCAAGCTCATCGCCAAGGGGGCGGACAAAGACCGGCCGCATGCGACCACGGGTTTGCCACCGTTGCATCATGCAGTCCAGAAGCAAAACCTCCGGGCAGTCGAGGAGCTTATCGCAAACAACGCAGATGCTGAGAAGCGGGTGAACGGGGAACAGTGCGACTGGTGCAGGAGGCATGCGCGACCAGCAGGTAGGAATGCGCGATGCATTTTACTGGCCATTCCGGAAAAGAAGCGCGAGTCGGACTGGGAGGCGATCAATGTCCAACTCTCACAAGTACTGAATCCGAGGCCGTCTCCTAGTCCCGGCTCGGATTCTAGTGGGAATGGGAAGATAAGGAGGAAAGTTCGTTGACTTATCTCATATGCTCTCAAGTTGAGTAAATAAGAGTGTTTAATGTGGAAGGAAGGGGGGAGGGGGTGAGACTGCAGGGATTAGTCACCCATTGCATGCAAATTCGCAGTGCATGTGATGTGATTGATGGTGATTGCAGGCGCTTTGGCCCATGGAAGCTGATGAGCTGATAACAACCTGGCAAGGAGAGGGAGTTAAAGATAGGGCTCGATGACAAGCGGTGAGTCTCTTACCCAATCCGGACTGCTGGTTCGTGTCAGAAGGTTGGGTGGCGCATGACCGAGATACCTTATATCCCACCATTAAAAGACCAAAGACTGCATGGTCAAGTCCCGGTCCCAAATTTCAGGACCGGGACCGGACCATTCCTAGGCCTACACTCCGGAAACCTCGTTTCACCGCGCTCAGCCATAGCTCGTAAAACTGGTGTACTTTAATATCTATATTCATCGGTTTCACTGCTAGCACAAAACCCGCGTCACCCCCTCCTACTGCCCAGAATATGTTTAGGTTTAAAATTGGAATAATTCAGGTGCTATTCTAAGCTCCGAGGCGAAGGTGACTCTAAAGTAAACTACCCGTGAGGTATCAGACTTCGGAGATGAACATCGAAATTGCATCATTTCCGTAAACCGATGCTTTTGAACTGTGTTGTTGTGTCTTTAATTGCCACTTCGACAGGGAGTCGCTCCATTGAACTGGCCCCATAGAAGCCATGCAAACCCTGCACCCGGTCCATCACAAACTTCGCGTCTTCGGGAGCAGCAATTGGCCCGCCGTGACAAAGTACAATGATGTCTTCATTGATCCGCACGGCTGCATTCCGAATTTCCTGAATTTCTGTCACACATTGTTCCAATGTTTTTCCGGTCTTTGCCCCTATCGACCCCGAAGTCGTCAGACCCATATGTGCAACCAAGATGTCGGCACCCGCCTCTGTCATCGCCTTGGCCTCATTCACATTGAAAACATAAGGAGTTGTCAGGAGGCCCAACTCTGAGGCATGTCGGATCATCTCAACTTCCTTTTCGTAACCCATGCCCGTCTCCTCGAGATTGGCGCGGAACTGGCCGTCTATGAGCCCAACCGTTGGAAAGTTCTGCACTCCTGCAAACCCCAGATCCTGCAGCTGCTTCAAGAACCTTGGGATTATCTTGAATGGATCCGTGCCACAAACACCCGCAATTACGGGAATATTCTGAACAACGGGAATGACTTCGGCGGCCATCTCGACAACTACTTCATTGGCGTTGCTGTATGGCATCAGTCCCGCAAGACTCCCACAGCCTGCCATTCGGAATCGACCGCTGTTGTAAATGATGACGAGGTCACCGCCTCCAGCCTCTACCGCTTTTGCGGAAAGACCGATACCTGGGAAATCATTATGAGCCTCATAAATCGACGAAATCATGAACGATCATGCGCAACCGTCACATACCGGCTCCAGCCCCAATTATGGGTTTCCCATTCTCGATTTGACGGCGTAAGTGGGCGATGATCGCGCCGCGAGAGGAATTTGAAACCATTTTTAGAGGAAGATAAGCTTGGCACTCCTAGAATGTCGAAAAAGAAAGAAAAGGCAGATTGCAGTGATACAGATTTAACCTGACGGTACAGACCTATTTATTGAAGGGTCCTAGAAGTGTTCACGGAATTTGCTGGTGGTGGCAAGCAACATAGTGGATGACGGGAGCGGACATTACATTGTATTCCGGATGATGATATCATCTTCCTTGCTCAATCTTTACTAACAATGTCAGAAGGCGGAGTCGGGTTGGCGGAGCGCGGAGCGCGGAGCGGCGCGAGCAAGCGCGGACTGCGGAGATAATCAGATCGAGGCCCGTCGCGGAAACCACAAATCGCGGGGATAAAAGGAAAAGACTTCATTCGTGGCGAAACGGCATAACGAAGTGCCGAGGAGCCTAGCTAAGATTAGAATCTGATTCGTGAAGGAATAGCTCAGGTGTTGAGTACTCATCGAGCCAGTTTCGCTGTGACTTGCGGGGGGTGAGGTTGGGGAATATGAATTAGTACTTGTAGGTGGGGTAGAAATACTTCTAGACCCTGCACATCTGTTCGGGGATACCACCCGTGTCTGCGTTGCAATAATTGTTCTTTCTTCTCATTCCAAACATGCTGGAATCAAGGTCGGCAGAATCAAACCCAAACACGGACAAGGTCGAGACATGTCCAAGCAGCGATTGTATGGAGCACCGTCAGATGCATGATGACTGTTGTGCCTGTTCTCGTCCCGTGATGCATTATCGCTCAATGGCGACTCCTTCTCCTTTGGATCTGCTCTCGTTTGGCACCAGCGTATTCCTGCTCTCAATGTTTAGAATACATACCCGCAAAGTCGACGAGATGAACATGGCGGTTGGGGTGCTGCTATGTTTTGGCGGCTCATGTCAATTTATTTCAGGCATTATTGAATTTATCAGAGGAAATACGGTGTGTTTTAACTCAAGAACTTTCCAGCTGATGTGCTAGATTGACTCATGCCTAACTATGTCCAGTTTGGAGCCACCGTTTTCCCTTCTTACAGAGCGTTCAGCATCAGTTTTGCCATGAGCACTTGATTTGAAAATTTATTCTAATGCCAGTTTATGAGTATTCAATAGAATAGGAGCAGTCTCCTTGGGCGTTTATTCAAGATGTTGTTCCCAATGATGCCGTTATCAACTCCCATTGTTCCCAATCCATATTGATCGGGTTGGTCCACTGCTGGGGCTCGATCTGCCGGAAAAGGCTGGGAAAGACATTGCTCTCAAGTGAGTCTAAGTCATATCTTCTACCCATAGTGTTCATGGCACTACTCGAGCTATCTTGCTGCAATGGAGAGATGCGTTGGCCACGGTCGAGTCCACCTGGTGTTGCCCTTTGATTCTCCACTAACCCGCTTGATCTATATAATCATTGTCAGCTCAAAAGCACAGAATCTTGATTACCTCCGTGATCGACTTACAACATCTGGCCAAGGATAGTTGCTGTCCGGGTGCATAACTGACTATGTGTCTTTGAGGCTTCTAGTCGCGCATGACATTCGTGAAGAAGTCGCACGGTGTTCACAGATAGGGATTCTTTTGGCTCCAAAGAAAGAATGAACATCAGAACGAAAGCAGCGTGAAAGGCATGGAAAGAGCCTTGGCCGCGGATATACCAACGAAATGGCGTAAATTGGGGTAGATGGTGGAAGTCGGCATGAAGTTCCAAAACTCGCTGTGCACTTTCCATGCAGAGCTTCTTCGACCAGCCATGCGTAGTCGAGTCAGAAGGTAATTCGCTCAGTGTAGCACTATGTAAAAGTAGAATCAGATGATGGGTAAAGCTGAGCAGCAGGTTGTTGTGAACTACGAAGGGGTCTACCCCGGGGGTCGAAGAGTAACTTTGCTCGAGTGAATTCAACTCCGCTCGTATGGTAGAATCCAGACGGTGAAGAACACCAAGATTTTCCGGTTGTGCAAGAAAAGCCGGGTTAGAAATCTCCGATGATATACGAAATAACTTTGATTTCCGGATCAGATATGAGACAGGTGTACTGCCCAAACCCAACGATCCTTCGATCGGTGCAGGCTGTCCGGAGACAATGCTTTCGTCAGAAACCTCAGCAGGTGGGAGAACACGCGAGAAAACCGCTGGGTATATGTCAAATCCCGTTATCGAGATATTCTGATTGCAGAGCAGCGTCGTGAGGGCTAACCAACAACGACGACGCTCCTCAGCTTCAACAATATCCAGAGAAAGCATGGCCGGGTCAACATGACAACCGATTGAGAGCGAGAGGAAGTAGACAAGCCCAAGAAGCGTCCAGGTCTGTCCATGGCTATGTTGGATCCCATATATGAGAATAAGAAGAGCTTGCAGCGTGGATATATTTTGTCGCCAGAGATATCGATCTGCCTCGAGGCACTTCATTGCGGCTGAGTAATACCGCTCCGAGATCTCATTGAGCCTTCCATAAGGGGTGTCCTTACGGCTCAGAGCCTTCAACAGATGACTGTCATCTTCCAGAGCAAGAACGGCGGTTCCCAGGACACAGAATAAGAGGCCCAGCCATGCCAATGACACTTGATCTGGGTTCTCAGAGAATCCAGCGTATTGCTTCTCAAACGTAGGGCAGTGTAAGATGGGAAAAACCTTATTTTGTGAGACTCTGATCCCATTGCGAGGGCGAAAAGACTCACTGGGGCGAACGATTGAAAATAGACAACTTTTAATTTGTCACAATACTCCCTTGGAGGAAGGAGCGCCAAAAGATTGGACCTGCTTTGTATGTCATGTTCGCCAAAGGGATATGGGCCGCTGGGTGTGTTGCTAAAAGCACTCTCTCGATCAGGAAAACAAGCCCCTTGAGAGGCTCGATGAACAAGGCGCCAGCTGGACGTCATAGGAAGGAATCGCACGTGTCCTGAAGCAGACGGAATGAGCGTGCCGGTTGCGAAAGCTGGAGGAAACTCTGATCTCAGCGGCGCATCTTCGCTTTCGGAAGCCCTAGGAACAGTCGAGCAAGAATGGCCGGTATCTTGTAGCTGGGCTTCTCCATTCAATATCTCTTCCAGTTTTTCAATCCGTGCTACGAGATCCGCATTGGACCCTTCTCCTGAAGAGCGATCGTGCTGGGGTTGAGAGACAGCGGGGTCTATGGTACTCTGCCGTGATTGTTGCTGCGGTCTTGATGGTGGCTGTGCTCGATGCGGGGATCTTCGAGGTTGTTTAGTGGTACTATAAACGCATTGTGCAGGTGAAATGCGGCGCCGCACGCAAGTGGCACAAGGAGGAGAATCTCGGGTACAGCGGATCTTGCGAACACGGCATGGCTCACAGGATATCGGAAGCCGTTGGCGCGGTCGCTGGGCGGACATAATTATCTCCCTTTCAGAATGGCGTCAGAATGCAAAGAATCCGGAAGATGATGAGGAAGCGGAGTTGCGAAAGAAGCGGAGTTGCGGAAGAAGCCAAGTTGCGGAAGAAGCCAAGTTGCGGAAGAAGCGGAGTTGCGAAAGAGCCGGAGATAAGCCCCCACATTCCATTTGCCACTGACGAGTGGCGCTGCCAAATGAGCAATGCCCCGTATGCCGAGGCTCCACCAGAGCACGAAGTGGTCGTACTTAAAATTCCCTGCATGATCGGAGCACTTTTATACATTTCAAAAATGGTGAAACTGCTCATGGCCAGCCCTATCGCACTTCAGGCTCTTCTATATTCTCGTTCCACCCATTATGCTGCATATCATCCTGTTGGGTACCCTTGATACCAAACGTGCAGAGGTATTATACGTCTACGACCAGTTGAAGGAAGCAGCCGCCAGCTTTTCTACTCCCCTCGACATCACCCTTGTTGATTGCGGCCGTCAAGCTATCACCGCCGATGCTATCACAATTGGCCACACCGACCTGGTCGCCAAGTATGCTCCTGGCCACGGTCCAAAGCTGATGGATTTACCCCGTGGCCAAGCTATCGAGTTTCTGATTACCTGCGTTAGCAGATGCGTGACAGATTTAATACAAAATAATGACATCCACGGCATTGTCGGCACGGGTGGTAGCGGGGGAACCAGTCTGATCGCCGCAGTGTTGAGGATGGCGGCACCGATCGGCCTTCCGAAACTGATTGTGAGCACCGTCGCTTCCGGGAATACGGGGCCGCTGGTGGGGGAATGTGATATCACTTTAATGTACTCTGTGGTGGACATTGCGGGTACAAATCGTCTCCTGCGCGACGTGCTGGGGAATGCCGCCGGTGCAATCTTCGGCATGGCTTCAACATACCAACGCCGACTTAGAGCGGCACGGTCCTTGATAGGTGCTCAAGAAAATTCAAGGGTTACACGAGTCGGAATTACCATGTTTGGCGTCACCACCCACTGTGTGGACTCGATCCGGCGTCATCTGGAAGCGAAATTTGCTGTGGAAGTCTATGTGTTCCATGCAACCGGTCACGGGGGAAAGGCCATGGAACGTCTGGTCGAGGAAGGCCAATTAGATGCAATATTGGATATTACAACGACCGAGATTTGCGATCTCATTGTCGGCGGGACTATGAGTTGCGAAACTAGCCGCCTGGAAGCCACGTTGCAACGGGGAATCCCCAACATCATTTCGGTTGGAGCTACCGACATGGTCAACTTTGGTCCTCTTGACACCGTGCCACAACAGTATCGGGAGCGCAACCTAGAGGTTCACAATCCTAGTGTTACACTGTTGAGAACATCTGTGGACGAGTGCCGACAGGTTGGGGACTTCATCGTCGACAAACTACTCCGGTTCACCCAGGAGCCATCAATGGTTGAGGTTTGGCTCCCCGAGGGAGGATTTAGTAGCATGGCTACTGCAGGGTCAGTATTTGCAGACGCCAAAGCTGATGCAGCCCTTGTCGATGTTATCAAATCTGGCTTGGCAGGAAGTGGGATACGGGTGGTGTCTCATGCTCGAGATATCAATGATAGTGGGTTCGCAATTGATATTGCCAACAGACTTATGGATCTTGTGATAAAACAATCCCAGCGTTCCCAAACACCTTAGCGGATGATTACTTTCCACTACAAATATAATGAATAGAAGGCCAGACCAAGAATGGCAACGTATCTGTTCCACCATCCATCGCATTTTACCAATTTCTCCCATGGGTTACGATCGTTCACACGGAAAGATTTGTGGCCCTCACATGGCCGGTGAAGCCTAGTTGGCTAGCTTGGTCGAAGGAATAGCTTCGAAATGCCATCGTTGGAATTAACCCGGAACTGGAAGATCATTGTTGGGTCGTTGAATATCTATAGGGTCAGGAGGTAACTGGGCGGTAATTTGCCTGGTTACCTCCTGAACCAAATCTAGTACTTGTCAGTAATTACTAGTAAGTTGTAGTATTAGATGGGTCATTATGTCGAGAGGAAATCACCGCTAATACTGCGCGGAACCCACCTGTATTCAGGCGAGTCCGAGTCTTACAAGGAAGGATACTTGAATTCCCTAGTATCTTGTATGGCAAAACGGGTAACTGCGGAAGTCCAGTGCGATATCGGAGTGCCGACCGCACAGGATGTCGTTCAACCGAATCTCATATAACAAATCTAGTGGATCTGTGCACGCAGAGGATCATGCAACGACAAGTGTAAAGATGAGGATTTGATGTACTGGCTAGTACAGAACATGGGTAATAGAGTCTGATAATTGAATCATTGACCGACGATGATAAGTGGTTGAAAACTCCTACATACTGTGCTACAACTCCTGGGAGCTTCTTTCGAGTGACAGGCCCCCCTTTAAGAAGGCGACAGCCACGATGCGACAGGCCCCTAATAAAGAAGGTGATGGCTATAATATAATATGTCTTTGATAAAGGAGATGATAGCTGAGTAATACGTTCTTGGTTAAGAAGGCGATAGCTAAGTCTTGGTTCTAGATTGAAGAGAAAGTTAAGGTTTCACATGGGTCTATATATCGCGTATTATGAGGTGCAAATTAATGGAGCTTTGTAAGTAGCTCAATCTCCTAACGTGCATTACAGTCTTCGTAGTGAAACTTAAAGACGTCAAACGTGGGGTTTGTTAGATCTAATGATGGGGACGGATCCTCTAGCCCTAACTGCCATCGGCACGATCTTGGGATTGATGTACATGGCACGAGCCGCCAAGTCCGAAATCCACCAAGTGTAGCCTGCTACGCTCTGCAGCACGTTAGTGTTTCCCTTGTCCTGAAATTTAATTGCCATTCATTTCATGGTCCCTTGTAGCCTTTCCACAGTTAAAAGTATCGGTTGAAAAGGCTACACACTGTGAAAGCAACGGTGTCATGAAAATATAAGCTCGAAAGAACCGTGTTCGATCCTCGGACCATCTGATATGGCATTAACATGAATCACTTCCATCATTGAATCCATCTCCATAAACCTACTGAAAATACTGCATTCCAGTTCGCTTCATTTGTTCCACCCTAATAGAAATGCACTCCTTCCACCTTACCTCCTCTTCTTCGCCTCCTGCCCCAGATACCCACTCCTGGGATGGCCGCTCCCCCCACCGCACCCGATCAACCGCAGAGAAATACCTCGACTCGCGATGGCCCATCCCCGCCACCTCATACAGGCGGTACCCCTCACTCTGCGGCCTCCAATGCGCCGTCTTTTCCAATGCATCTGCCCACTCACCCCACATGGATACCGCACTGACAAGAACTCCGATTCCCCCAGCATGGTTCGGGGATGGCGAAGGTTTCGGGTGGGTTAGGTGATTCTTTGTCGGTCATTTTGTTGGGACTTTTCTTGCTTCCTGGATCCTCTTTCTGGTTGTCTATTTTGCTGTCTTTGTGGAGTCGAATTGTTAAGAACAATGTTGTATAGCTGTGGTCGGCAAGGACAGCACAGGGCGTTGCGCCACTTACTCGTGCTTTGATCCCCAATTACGATTTCGAGGCAAGAAAAGCGATAGGAGTTCAGATTCACTCTTTTATCAACTCCACTGGGAACCCTGTCCAGCATTCCACATTTGTACTCGTAGCACATACTTAGGCTGTCACTATACCTGGCTACCCAGCCCGACAAGATCACGTGCCGACCGACATACTCGATGGAGCGTCACCGGTCCCCCTCGCCCCATGGCTCCTAACTTTCTTGGCGACCGGGAAAATGTCATATTCGTAGAATGTGGGGGGGTTCCATGCTTTCTCTCTGTCCTTCGATGAGTTTTGAAAGTTTAGCCCTCCGCTGAGACTCGTAGTAAGTGTAGTCTGGTCGATTGTTGTAAGTCACGTGCAGATGGTTAGCCCGGTAGGGCGTCATTTGAACTCTAGATTTTCAAGCAGACAGATAGTGTGGGATAATCTTTCTGGAGAGTAATATGTAAAATATTTTGATGAAGTTTCCTCCTCAACGTGTCTTTAGGATGCGTATATTTTGCCATGCTTTCTGGGTATGTTAACATCGCTTCGGTCAGTTGAGCGACCCCGTTACAAATTCCACTCCAACTCCTCCGCTTCTGATATTTCCGAGAGTTCGGCTATTAAAGATTCGCCCGCTTTCAATCCATTAAGCGTATCCGGGCTCTTGCTTGGTTAGCTCTGAAGAAGTCTACCTACCTAATAGAGGGGAACACGTACTTCCCGAACGCCACACACTTCCCGAACAGCTGCTGATTGTGCATACTGTGTACAACTTATATGTAAATTATCAGTTTCGATCGCAGACACTCTTCAAACTGGTTACAATGTATAGATATAAACTATTTAACTATCTAGATTGTATATAAGAGTGCCTTATAAATTTTGACTTACTTGCTTATTTACAGAAGTGCCGTAAAATGCTTTCAGGCCTACCTCGCTCACTTGCTCTACGCGTGCTGTGTAAGGCCTCGAGGCCTCCCTGCCTTGCTCGCTCGCTTGGTGCGTGGCGTTCGGGAAGTACGTGTCCCCCTCTAATGATCCCCTGATTTCCCCGTCGAAGAGTTGGGCAGCTATTAAGCGGTGAAGATGTCCCGCGCTCTCAGTCCATTTGAAAATCTGAGATGGGATGTTAGAAGAAACAAACACCTTGAGGACAATTGAGAGAGGGAATAGGGAATAAATTAAGTATGGAGGTCACTGTGCTGTTTACCCTGCGATTTCTCCTATCTAAGCCTTCAATGTTCACATATACCTTTAACTATACAAATCTTCTCCAGCAGGTCCTGAGAGAACACACACTGTGCTAGAAATTAATTACAGTGAGCGATCTCCACCGGACACAAGAGAACTGGAAAATCAATCCTAATCATAATCTATTGTTGAAAGTTTGATAGAATTTGACCCGAGACATAAAACAATTAAGCTTCATGACTGAAAGCTTAGTGTCGGCTTTTTGACGGGGGTTTGCTGACTGGGAGAGGGGTGAGTCAAGGTGCGTAGTGTGTAATATGGTAAGGCACGGCTGGATCCTGCTGATTTGAGGCTCAAAGATAGTATAGTGAGTTTGACCATTCAGATACGGCAATATAGGTCTGAAAACTCTAGAAGGGTCTGTCCGCGGCTTCCTTTCCATAAGCATTTCTCTTTTGCCGAGGCAAAGCGGGGGCCCCTCGGAAAATGAAGAATTTAACCCGAAGGGGAACTTATTCCCGACACCCGTGACCCGTTCACACTGATGTTTCCATGGAGTTCTGACGCTGTCCGACCAACTCTGGCTAGCCCTGTACATTGAAAATTGAAAAAAAAAAAAAAAGAAAAAAAGAAAAAAACCAGAACTGTAGGCAATAATAATACCAAAAGCATGCAGTGCAGTGGGCTTGATGCATAGTGATGCAGAGGCCAGAAGGTAATCGTTATGTGCGATGGATAGGTTAGTAGTCTGTGCTTATCCTATGCGGGACGCGTATTGAATGAATCCGCGACCAAAGGCCGTTAGTTCAATTAGTTCAATTTAATATAGACAGACACACGGCACAGTTCCCACATTTCTCTGCGCATCTCAGCCTCTCAGGGGCTGCAAATGCATATAATGTTTGCAGGCGAGCAAGAAATCGCACGTGGGGATTTATTCATACCTAGCTAGCTGGACCCCGAATCCAAGGAAAATTACCCCTATCAGATCGATGTTTCCACCACTGAAGACTTTCAGATCTCATCTGGGCCAAGATTAGGGTTTGTGACCGTTAACCACGGCTTCATAATCAAGTGTGTGCCTTGCTCTTGAAAGAATGCGTTTTCTCTTGTCTCGTGCTGCGGAAACGGAGAGATTATCATATTTGTAACCCTCCTGCTATTTGCTTGCAGGCTAGCCAAAAAGCTACCATGCCCGGAACTGAGACCATAATACCTGCCCGTCGTCGTGCATACACGAGATCAAGGACGGGATGCCGCACCTGCCGGTAAGTGCTCTGCGGAGGACCTGCTGCCCTTAAATCCGCCTGATATGCGTGCAGTGCGCGCCGCATCCGTTGCGACGAATTGCCTGGTGCCTGCAAGAACTGCACGTCCACCGGTCGGAAATGCGACTATGATCTCCATCGACTCCCCTGGGGGCGCCAAACCACCTTGCCCCAGGTCGTCTGCGTCCAGCGCCATGGATGGGTCCTGACGTCGGACGAGCAACGATGCTTTTCGTACTTCCAGCACCGCACAGTCTCCAGTGTTGCGGACCTGTTCGACTCCCCACTCTGGGAAAGCCATATTCTGCGCCTGAGCTTCACGGAACCGGCCGTTTGCCATGCGGTGAACATGCTGAGTGCGATCCAGCAAGCCGCGGAGACCAATGGAATGCGACTCACTGGGGCACAGGCCGATGATGATCATTTGAAGTTCGCGCTGGAGCAGTCGGTGCGGGCATCAGCCTTGCTGCGACGCCGGCAGGGATCCAACGACCCGCAGCTGATCCACACCGTTCTAATCTGCTGCCTGTTGTTTGTGATCGGAGAGCATATGCGGAGCAACTTCAACACTACTATTGTGCACGTGAAACACGGGGTGCGAATTATGAGAGAGGCACAGGCCCGGGGACAGAGATTCGATCCGGCCCTTGTTGATTATTTTCATCACCTGGATATGGAGGCCGATCTTTATTGGCGAACTGTGCACCAGGACGATACCAAACGCGAAGAGCCGGACTGGGTGACGAAGGGTTATCCCATTGTTATCCAAAGCGTTGCCGATGCCCGAGTAGCGTTCATGAAGATCAGCAATCACTCAATTGGCTTTATTGGCCACGCCTGGCAAACGCCAAAAGCCAGAATCCTTGCTGAATATGGCGCGTTCTGGCTTGCTCGCCAGCGGATTCTCGTACGGTACCAGCAGTTCACTCGGGCCCTGGATTCCTTCTATCAAACCCGCGCGCATGTGCTGACGAGCAGAGAACAACGCGCCGTCACTGTGTTGCGGCACCTGGAGGTAGTCCAGACAATCTCATTGAAACTCACGCTACATGACGGCAGCGATGCCAGTGACCAGGCCCGGATTATAACGGATTTCACGACTTTACTAACGAGCAGTCTCGCTATAATAAGCGCCCTCGCCCGCAGCACAACGACCGTTATCATAGAGCCGCTGGTCCTCGGTGGTCTGCACATCGTGGCTACCCAGTGTCCGGACTTCACATTGCGGGTTCAAGCCCTTGACGCCATGCACTCCTGGCCCCACAGTGAGGGGCTGGTTAACTCGGAGGTCTGGGCCGCGCTTGCGACCGAGGCGCTGAGGGCGGACCTTTTGCAGCGAATAGCCCAAGACGGGGAGAACCGGACTGGCGTAGCGTATCCGATGGAGACAGATCAGTTTCTCGTGGAGGTCTTGAGATCGAGTCACACTGCGAAGGACTGGGCGCCTGTTCGTGCTAAGGATTTGGACATTGGCGACCTGGTATCACCGTCAGAGTCAGAATCTCGTGGTGATAGTTCTGGAGTGGCGGGTCACTCCGGAGGCGACGAGGTATGTGCGGGCGAACTGTGTCGGCAGCTTGTATGAACCATGCTCTTGGTGGGAAATCATATCATTGCGGACAGATCTGCCCACGCTTTCCACAGGGGGAAACTGGAGTTGTATCAAAAAAATCGCCCGTGCACCCATGTCATACTAGCTCATAAGAATCCGATCTAACAGATAGTTATTGTCTTTACCTATCAGACAAGTCCTTAGGATTCTGATCAGAGAGATTGAAAACCAGGCCTGGCTTGTGCTCTTGCAGGGTTTCACGACTGTTGTGCATCAGATGTCTATAACGGTTCCAGACCTCCGATGACCGCAGTAAAATGCTAAACGAGTATCTGTATATTAGTATACTACGGGAGGCTATTCATGCCACATTACAGAATCCCGATTGCCTTGAAATCTCTATACTTAACAGCTTTACTGCCAACCAGACCGCCCTGCCTAACATAGCCCTAATCTACGAGAAGAGATACACCAATCTTTCATACAGCGCTCTTCTGTAATGATGCCTTCCGGCTCGAGGCCACATAATCCTAATAGACCTAAGAGTCACAATAGAATCTGTAGTGACATGACATTCCCTAGGCCAAGAGCTGACAGAGGTACAAACCTAGTCCCTGCGTGAGGTGTGGGTAAAGGGGCGGGCAGCTAGAAAGTCGTCAAAGGAAGAGGGGACTCCTACCCTACCAGTGTTTAGAACGACCCTTTTGGTATGGCAAACTACTGGCACCATTAGGTTTATTGTCAATTGGCAAAAGTACCCAACCGTAGTAGGAAAGCCCCGGAACAAGAATCTATGGACGATGAAAGTTTGAGTTCTGTGATATTGCGCAAGAGTACTTATGGAGACGCAGAAGTCTCAGATAGTATATTTCCGGTTCAAGATCTTGTCTTAATAGGAGGGTTCCGTTTCGAGCTTCATTATCCGAAAGAGACTACCATGCTATTTGTTACAAGCTTATGATCTCTGATTTGATGCGTGATCCAATACCAACATGAGCAATTTACTTGTCCTCACGCAATCAAAAGTTTATTTCAAACCCCTCTGAACGTCTAGACTGTCTATCATGCCTGTTCCCCCGCCTCTATATCTCTATCTAGCTGGTCTCTCGCCGCTCTCCAACGTTTAATCCACTTGGTCAATTGAAAGCAATCAACGCGCTAACGGTGGAGACGCCTACAGAACCGCCAACTAGATAGGAGTTAGGATCAGCCTTGTCGCGCAAAGGGGGATGGTCTGCGCGACAAGCTTACATATAATAGGGAAAATCCATTCCTCTTTATAGCTGACGCTCCCCCCCTCCGACATGGGGAAAGTCAGACACATTCAAAGCAAAGAAGCTCGTCAAGAAAGAGGCGGGCAGCTGAATATCGAAGGAAGCGTTAGGTTAGTGGTTCTAAAATATAAGGAAACCGGAGACCCACAAAGGCGGTCGTGACAAGTGTAAACATCTTGATAGTAACACCCTGCTTGGCGGTCTCTTCGCTTTGCTGCGGCTGCTCTTCGCTTTGTTGATGTTGGCTTGCTTCTGCTTAAAGTCAAGCAGCATGTCGAGGGACTTTATAACAGTCTCCGCATCTTTGATCATTTCCTTAATCTTGGCTTGGATCTCAGAAGGGGTGTCGTAGGTGAAGCCTGCCTTGCGGTCAGACTCCTTGCCCCAGAGTCGGTCGCACACCTCTTTTTAATCCTCCGCCAAGCTTTGTACAATATTAAGCTCACCATTAATATCCTTTATTTCCCGGAGCAGCATTATTTCCGCGAGGACGTTATCATACTGCTTCTTAGATGCGAAAATGATCTCTTTTTTAGACTTCTTTCTGTTTGGTCTTCGCCCACGCACTGCCTAACTTCTAATATCGGATCTCCTGAGCAGTTAATCTTCAGTTCTTAACACTAAGGTCATTATTCAAATGGAGTGTCACCTAGCCCCTGTGGCCATGACAGCTCGAGTATCACCTTCCTCGAACGACATATCGCTTGTTTTATCACGGACTGAAATGTGTAGCTTCTGTTCGTTCAGAGTGCAAAGGCCCACAGCGTCGGCCATAAGAAGCCAGAGTGACTTGCAGAATCTTCGGATTTTCACGGCTTTGGTCTCGTCTCTTCCTGCCGATGACTGTTCTCTTCTGAAATCGTGGTTTCTCGGAGGGCGACAGTCGGGGAGCAATGGCGGGGTACATGGAAGTAAGCAGTGTTCCTTAGCTGGGCAGGTAGTCTGGTCCAGAATGGATACAAAGTCGGAAACGACAGCTTGTAGATATCACTAATATCAATGCGCTAGCCTGACAGAAGTCAGTCAAGATCCTAGCACTGTCATGAATGTCAGAACTCGGCCGCTGGTTTTACATCAATCGCGCGCTCGCGGTGTCTTATTGCCGAGGCAGGCAATTCGTAACTACATATTTGTCCGAGATTGTGAGATTGATGGTTTGAAGGAATGAGCACGCAGGCTGTAAAACATCGACTTTGTCATATTAAACAGCTGCAAAGATTGTTAAGAAATTGTAAGAATGGCCGAAGTCACCGGGTTTCTCTTTTACAACTCAACGAAATTCAACGGAACGATGGTAAATCTCAAACTCGAGGCGGTAAATTACGATCTATGATTCCCTTGACCTGAACCTCGACCTGAGCTCATTCCATCCACCACTCGCCCGCCGGAAACAGGCCGTCGAGGCATAAAGAATGGGCCGCGAAGTCCGCTCCTCCCGCCGCCAGGGCAGCCGGAAGAATCCTTTGGAACATTAGTTCTATTTGGAGATTGCAGTCATAGAGGACAAAAGCTGGACAAGGACAAAAGGGTAGTAGGGTCGCGGGAAGGAAATGCTCTGCTGATGGGAAGTTACTTACTACGCATTGGCTCGGACGGGCTTACCTTTAACTCGCGAATCCATGCGTTCAGCGAGATTTGCGCATTGTCGGCCTCAAAGACGACAGTGCTCACAGGGCATCTCTGCCGTCTCTGCGTGCACCTGGTAGGCAATTTCTGCGGTGCCGTCTCACTCAGCGAGCAAAGGGGATCGCTCAACTTGACTCCATGGCCATGGAATAACAAGTCCTGCAGGCAGAGGTATCGAAGCCGGGGCATATCGTCGTGAAGGCTCGCCCAGACTGCCCGCCACCGGCGCACGATCTCTACCCTGCAATCAAGAATCCACTGCTGCTTCCCAGTAGAATGAGGCTCAGGATTCCAAGGAGCGGCGGGGGTGATGGGTTCAACTAGATTTACTGAAGATAAGGTAAGACGCTGCAAGGTAGTGGCAGCGGAGCGGAGGAACGCTTGCAGGTCACCGTGGGTAGTATCAACGTCGTGCAAGTCCAGCTTCATCAGCCGTGTGAAGTGGACGCGGGGCGCGAGCTGGGAGAACACTTGAGCCGGCAGGCGCTCGCTCGGGTTGTAGCAGAGCGACAAAGCAAGGCTCCGCAAGCTGGGGGCGGCGGTCACCACCATCTCTACCGTATGCCGCAGGCAATCTTCCTTAAGACAGTGGGTGAACGACTTATTCGTGCCAGAGAGGCACAAGTGCAGGGTTTCGAGACTCGGTAAGAGGGCTAGGAATCGCTTGTACTCCGGTGTCGTCGTCTCCGTCCATAGGATTGTCAGCTCCTGTGCTGCCACGCCGCAGTGATGATCATCGCACGTCTTGAGTCTCCGCAGCTTTCGCTGTTCGGTGATAATTGTGTTTACCACGGCGGAGAAAACACTCGCATGTTTATATCCCATTCTTTGCTTCTCCTGCCCCAGGTACGCAGAGGAAGCAGTCGTCCTGTGACAGGGCAGCTGATGCCGAAGTTGGCGTACCCCAAAACAGGGGAAACTCGCTGGCTGAGTCGAATCGAGCAGGGTCCATATGGGACAGGACCTTAGCCCGATACTGTCCAGATTGTTGAAGCAGGCGAGCAACCCACAAAGGGTGCTTGTAAAGGTCCCCGTGCTCAATACGTGACAGTGATCTGCAACAATCGACTGGTAGGCGGTGAAACGGTTAGAGAGCTCAGTGTCGCTCCTGGATCCCTCCGCGTAACAACTTGCAGCGAAAGAATTCCCCCATAGTGGTCGCATTTCATTTTTCGCGAGACCATGCTTTTTCTCCAGCTATCCTTCGAAGAGGGTGGGGACGATCCAGAGATTTCTCACTCGTGTGCGAAGATTCTCATCGGCAGCCACGGCCGCCAAGCGGCTCAGACTCTGACTTGTGATCAGAACACAAACAGTCTGGAAGTTAGAGTCCGCGAAGGCTGCCCACGTGCGGAGGAAGAGTGTCTTGCAGGTAAGCCGAACAGCGCACCAGTCGGCTAGTTCCAGGTGGTCACAAATATGGATGATAAGTTCAGTGGTCAGGGTAGTGTAATTCATTTCGGTAGCGGAGGCAGCAGCAGCCCTTTGGCGGGTGAGAGGGCAGGTGTCAACTACATTCCACTCTCGATCTTGGTCAACGTGGATTCACTGACTAGTGGCTAGTGTAAGAACCGGCGATGGCCGAACAAACAACCGGTGGAGCCGTTCCTCGCTAGTCCGTAGTCCATTAGATTGCCCGGCCCTGGATGACGCGTCACCACACTCTTTCTTGATCACGGGCTATTCGAAGATTGATCTCCCCATTCAGCGGTGACTCAGGGTCTTCCGAGGCGAGCCCCTTAGCCGAAGGGACACAATCATAGGGGAAGCTTGGTTTGAAGTCGGTTCGAGTGCATTGGTGGGAGAAGCCGAGCTCGACTCACCCTTATGCTGTAAGTGCGTCTCATTAAAACATCATCCTTGACATTGCATATATTCTGTAACGTAGCTGCATTCCCGAACAGAGGACAAAGCCCATTACAGCAGCAAAGAATGATGTGACTCATGAATATCAGGCTGGAGTCAAGCCTTTCCGCGCAGTACTTGTTCCGGCTCTGGTGACTAACCCCGAAGTAAGGGCCTAACTATGCCGGCCAATCTAGTTAGGCTATTTTAGATTGCTTCTTGTGTTAAAGTTTGCTGGTCACCTTAGACTATGAGGTAATTTGGCCGTGGACGACACAGTGTATCGTCGCGGCTCAAGCGTCATCCGCAAATCACATCAGTGGCAATCGTCCGCTGGTCACTTCAGATGTATATCAGAATATCATGACTCAACCACGCGGTGAAAGCTAAATTATACCACTATCAAAAGTACATAGCCAGGATGCTGACCGATGTGGTTTTTGTTACAGTCTACAGCACACAATTCTTGTATTAATATGATCAACCTTGGGGGTAGGCAATATAAACCAATTTGTTTCATGTGGCAATGCATAAATCATAAGTCGATAGAACACGATCTTGACATGACTTTGGCAGAAGGGAAAGAGCTATGTCCTGTTAAACATAGTGTTGCTTAGAAGCACCCGTAGGGTCAACCTAAACTAAATCATCTAATATTACCCACACTCTGGATTCAGACCGGCAAAAGAGCTGTTTATCCTATGGACGTGCGCACGTGATCTCACTGCCCTTGCGCGACTTAGTCCTAAGCCCCTACAGTTGCATCCGTCAAAGATGGGACCCACCCCCCTCTAAGCTCGCATTGTTAAGGCCCCTCAACTCCTTTGCCTTGATGCAGCTGGCAAGGTCCGCGTCCACGTCATTATTGGTGACCCATCGGATGTCTCGAGAGACGTAGTCCGAAGCGGCATGCTTGTCCACTGCCTCCATGCTGGTGTCGAAGACCTTGATCTCCTCCCAGATCTTTTTGAGATGCGGGATTCGCATTTCGTCATAACTCTCTACTAGCTCTCGGTGGTCAGAATGGGGAATCATTTCTGGAGATGGAAAGGGGGGAGAAGTCATACAGGCGAGCTTGATGGACTCTGGTGTCCATCGGCCATTAAAGGCTCGATGGGCATGACCCAGGGTGAGATAGAGAGACTTTGCATCCTCATAGGCCAGGGCACTGCCCGCGCTCAACGCACCCCCGGTGGCTGGACATGTCGTTAGCGGCCGGCCGGACATCTTATGACTTGCAGCTTTCGATACTCACGGTGTCCCGTATCACCTAAAAACACCAACCGATCTCCATCAACCATTGATCGGGGCCATGTACCCCTCGCGGCCGCTGGTTGCATATTCGGTCAGCCGACCAAACCTCCGTTTTGCTAGGGTGATGATCGAGCTTACGGAAAACCCCGAGTTTCGTAGAGTACCGAATGATTTTTGTCATCACGGAATTCCAGTCCCCGAGGTAGCTAAGCAGCTTCGCTTCTGCCGGCGTATTAGAAGATGGTTAGCCAGTCTTCGCATTAATCATAACACCCGGACATACTCCATGTTTCATCCGCCGGAGCGGCCCATTTGAGCTGCTGTGTCTTTTCCGGCTTTGCGGGAATAACGCAGAGCAAGCCGTACCAATTCTTCCCCTGTTATCAGACGATACCACGTACACGCAACCAACAGGCATGCTCCACGGTGTCTGTTCCCGCACTCTCTGTTGATGCACTCGCGCAGGGCTGTTCATGGCAAATAGTACATACACCGGATGCAAAGCCCTCTCTAGGACGGCCACATCTGAAACACGCAGGATGGGAGTACTGTACTCCGGCCCAACACCACGCATACCCAACTTAGAGAGCTCGTCAAGCGCCATTGAACATATCGAGCCGCGGACCCCGCAGGTCCCGCGCGAGCAGCTCGAAGTCCCACCCCTCGGCTAGCGACTCCTCCGTGATCCCCAGATCGGCCTCCACTTAACTCCGCGCCTGCTGCATACCCCGATCGTGATCGTTGTCGTCGTCTGCAGACTCGGGGGGGTAGTATACAGTAGCAGAGAGGTGTGGAATTGCTACGGTGGTTTCGGATTATCACCTGGGGAGCGCGGAAAGGATAGTTAGGGCTGGCTGGCCGGGATTCTCTTACCGTAGATAGGTGATCCACCATGCGCCCAGAAGGGCCATGACAATGAATCACATTCCGTCAACTGCGTCCTTCTCAGTCGGGAGGTACGCAGCGCCACTCTCCGTAAATCTATTGGCTCCCCGAGCTTCACTTGCTGGGATCGTGGAATCGCGAGATCCTCGTGACACCGAGAGAAGCCGCTCCTCTGGGCTTCTTTCCGGGATAAGAGCTCCGGTACGGAGCAGTCCTGGCAGATTAGTCATTACTCGTAAAACAATCACCAACAATGGAGGCAGAGGAGCAGGGCTCACTGATTCAGAATGTTCCGACGCAAGTCAGACTTAGATCGCTGCACCTCTTTCTTACAACTTGGCTGTTGCCCATCTGACTAAAATTGGCCATTGTTAGCGCCAAGGGTTTACACATCCCCGCTTAAGAAGACGCGGGGAAGTGCGGCTGGTGCTGCTTCAAGCTTGCTGCTCGCTTAGACCTGCATATCGGACTAACTTAGCCGCGTCTATCCTGACTAGCTTCGGCATCTACGCGAGCCTGTCTGGGTTCGTTGGGCTCGGGGCTGTCCCACTATAGGTTTATTCGGGTAAGCTACGCGCGTCCCGGTGGTCGGGGTCTGGCGTCTAGGCTTCGGAGGGAAGTTGAAAGACCTAGTAGGGGAGAGAGAGGAGGGGGGTAAGGAGGGTACTTGGAAAGCCCCCAGGCGTTTCCCCTCTCCACCACTTAGCGGGATATCCGACAGTCCGATGGATCAAGTGCATGTCTGTGGTCGTAATATAAACGCGGGTGGTCGCCAATCCGCTGATATACTTACATACTATGGTTGATAAGCTTGATGTGGTGAATCTTTAGGACCGTGAACGTTTTCATCGGGTTTGACTGTATCAGAACAAGGTTTTGGCAGAATATGTAAGCTTCCTAAAGCGACATAGGCGGACTTCTCGATCCAGGATTTGCAGATCCTGCTCAGATGTAGTATTTACAGGCATGAATCATGATTCTCTCAAAGTTAAGCTTGCACCGCCAGGTTAAGTACGAGGTGGAAGAATGCAGACTAACCAAGCACTCAATCTTCACGCTCCCCGCAAGTGATAATGCGAGACTTCGGCCCACAGCGCCCTGACCGGCATCAAGAACGCGTCATCAGACCAGATGAACTGTCGCATGGTCTGGTGCAAGCTCGCCCAGATGATGTGGGGATAATCAAGGGCAAGCACGTTTACATAACCAGAGCGAACTGGTCCGACCGGCGCAAATGCGCCGCCGATATAGAGCAGCCAGACAAGCAGACCAGCATCATGATCGCCATCCCATGCCCCGGCGTCGGCGCCGTCACGCAGCGTCCTGAGGTTAAAGAGAAGCTGGGATGACATGTGCGACTAGACCACCAAGATGAAGTCAGTCAACCAAGATTCCTGAACTCCCGTATGCAGTGGGGCAATCGTACTCACCGGAAGCACCAATTCACACCATATCTTACAGCACAGCGTCATAGAACACAAGTATGCCGCGAGACGACAGCACTCCTGCAGTCGACTCAGCCCCGACAAGGCCTTGAGTCGCGACTGGATGGAGGCGACGTGGTTGTTGATATGGAGCATGCCCATTGCATCGATGTGCGACGATCGCGGAATATTCCGGATGCATTGCAGGGCATGAAGGTCTTCTAGAACTGCACTGAACCCTCCCTCGAAGATATGTGATCGGGACTGAAATCCCGGTGGGAGACGATAGAAGTTGGGCACGAAGGCATCCCGGGTCCAGAGGAGGGGGGCGAAGGTGGTGTGGTTGACTATGCGTTTGGACCCCACCATGAGGGATGAGTTCAGGTCTTGCCTGGCGATTATTTCAGTACATCATATGGTCAGTCAGGGTACATTGGTAAGCATAGTAATAGTACAGTTGATAAAGGTTACTCACCAGAATATGGCTCGTTGGATTCCCGGAGTCAGATGGATGCTTTTTCTCTGGCAAATTTGCAGCAGTTGCTGCACTGCGCCCATGTGAAGTTCGACCTGAGGTTTCAATCCGAGGCGAGCCTGTTCGGGAGTCATTGAAATAAGCAATCAAGTACTGAATCAGGCTTTTTCCTGGGTCATTTGATGAAACATACCCCTACACCTGCGATCAGCAATATGGCGCCGATAACCGCCTCCGAAGCAGCGTCATGCTCAGAGTCCATCCGCTCGCGGATATATGTGATCGCCTGACCCTGATACCGTAGACACTCGTGGTCCAGACTGCCGCTGGTGACGGCAAATGCGAGAGTAAGCATCACAGCATTAATCAGAGCGGGGTCTTGGAAGCCCGTCCGGAAGACCGATCGGAAGCTCTGGAAGGCCAGTTCCTCGGCCACGCTGAAGACCGGCTCTGGGGCTTGCCTGGCCCTGTCTGGGACGCCGGGTAGTCAGTGAGATAAGAGCAAAGAAACGGACCGATGGAGGAGGAATCACTTACAATCACAAAGCAGTGCCTGCAGCCTGGAAGAGTCCACTGCAAGGGTCTGGAACGGATCGAGAGCACCCGAGAGGGGGCCGTAAACTGGGGCTGGTGGATTGGTACAAGTCATGGTACATGGCTTGGCTGTCTGACGCGAATCATTGAAATTAGAATCGATATCTGGGTCTTCAAAGGTTGTTAGAATGAAATTGGTCCTAGAGCGTTGCTGGTCCTTCCGTTTTCTTTCCAGCGCTTTCTTCAGAGCGTGGGACCGCGCCCGACGCCGCATCGCCTTGTCCTTTACGGTCTCGTTGACTTGGATCGAAATAAACTGAAAGTCTCCGGCCATGTTGCTTGCTTAAGCTGCCAGTCCTGCAACGATTATGGGTATGATGCTCATTGATTGTGTCGAACTGTAAGTTCAAACCTCAGCAGCCTTGCTTAGAAATCCGAATGACAAAGACCGACTATGCCTAAATAGGAAGTATCTCATTTCCCTTCCGGGAACAACCTCTTTGCCCTAAACAGATCTTGGATCATTGCAAGCCATTCTCATCAACTCCGACATTTCGGCGCGATATATCATCAATTCTGGAGTCAGAAACAACTTACTACTTCATCGGGGTTGTTACATTTGTCAGCCGCGATGATTAGTAACTATTCTCACGAGAGCTAAAGGCAGGCCGAGAAGAAATATATAAGCGAGTTGATAAAGCCAGAATCGGGGAGCATCAGACTCCAAACAGCAGGTTCACGTTCCATCTTTCATGCTCATCAAGTGTATCAATTCACCAAGATGACAGACTCACACCTCTTCAAGCCCCTCCAAATCGGCACCATCCAAGTGCAGCACCGCGTCGGCATGGCACCGCTGACCCGCCGCCGCGCTACCCCAGACCGCATCCCCACCCCTCTGATGAAAGAGTACTACACGCAACGCGCCTCCGAGCCAGGAACCCTCATCATCACCGAAGGGACCATGGTCTCCGCCGCTGCATGCGGTGGGTTCTCCAACGCCCCCGGCATCTGGCGGGCGGACCAGATCGCGGCGTGGAAGGAGATCACGGACGCGGTGCACGCGCGGGGCAGCTTTATCTACGTGCAGCTGTTCGGCATGGGCCGGGCGGCCGACTCAACGGTGGCGGCGAGCGAAGGAATCGACATCGTGGCGCCCAGCGCGATCCCGATCCCGGCGGACGAGAACCCCGCCGCGCCGACACCGCGGGCCATGACCCGGGCTGAGATCCGGCAGACGGTCGTCGACTTTGCGACAGCAGCGCGGAACGCCCGCGCGGCTGGGTTCGATGGTGTCGAGGTGCACGGCGCCAACGGATACCTCCTGGATCAGTTTCTGCAGGACACAAGTAACCAGCGCGACGACGAGTATGGGGGCAGCGTCGCGAATCGGTCTCGACTGCTCTATGAGGTGCTGTTGGCAACTGTGGAGGCGATTGGCGCGGACCGCGTCGGACTCCGGCTGAGTCCCTGGTCTCGGTTCCAGGGCATGCGCATGGCGGATCCGGTACCACAGTTTGCGGACATCGTCGACCGGGCTAGCAGGTTGGGGCTGGCGTACCTTTCGCTTGTCGAGACGCGGATCTACGGCGCGTGGGTCTATGACGGCAGTGTGGATGAAGACCAGGAGACCCTGGACTTTGCAATCGAGCGCTGGGATGGGCCGATTCTGGTGGCTGGAGGCTATGGGCTGGAGAACGCGCAAAGGCTAGTCGATGAGCAATACCCCGACAAGAACATCGTGGTCCTCTTCGGACGGCATTTTATCTCGAATCCCGATCTGGTGTATCGGCTTAAGGAAGGGGTTGGGTTGTCCAAGTATCAGCGTGAGACGTTCTATCAGGTCAGCTCAGCGTTGGGGTATGTGGATTATCCATTCAGCAAGGAGTATTCAGCGACAGTGAGCGCTTAGGGGGGCTACATTCATAATAGTGTCGTGTTAACTAGGATTGCATTGCGCGAGTGAAATAGGTATACAGAATGGAGAAACATCTGAAGTCTGTCTTCAATATGAACAAAAGGCAAGCTCCAAACAGTAGAGGTGTCTATGATACACGCCGCGGATGTTAGGTACGACAAGTTGAACAGCAAAAACCTACAATGGCAGGGACTCGCTGGTGGCCACCTAACCAACTACTACCCCCCAACATGTGGTTTCTCTGCTGTCAGTAGTCGGGGGGTTGTCTTTGACGGTCCTCAACAGGGCTGCGGACGCGCTTAGTGCGACTGCGCTGCAGAGGGCTGGGGCTTCGTGAAGCTCTGTGCTCCTCTGTGTTGTAACTGGTCTTTGACTAGAGATGGAACTCTAAGAGCTGTTGTCGTGCCTGCGTATGCTGCGTCAAGGGAATATACTTGTAGGGCCTGAGTCAACTTCTAGGACCGAATGCGGTATAATATACTGGAAGTATCTCTGCACTTCTTTCTACCATAAAACTCACTTCTCCCCTGGAGAGCCACCTCGAACCTTTGGTTTTGTGACATATGAACACCACCTGCTACCCCTGAGAGCTCAGAGCTACTTGTTTCCCCCCGTCTCGGACGGTTGCGGACTCACTCGACGTGATCCTTCTCCTCGCTCTTCGGGATGCGAACAAACCCAATACAAACCGCCGCCGCCGCGAGCGAAATCGCCAAACTAAACCACCAGATCGCCCGTAGAGCGCCGAGGTCCAGACTATACCCGTCCCCGCCCGCTTCGGTAACTTCCTTCCCGATAGTGTCTCCAATGGCCGTCACAATCGCCGCGGACAAATTCTGAATCGTCACGAGTAGACTCCCGGCTGAGCCCTGGAAGGAGCGGGGCACATTGGATGTGATGAAGATCGACGCGGCTGCGAATGTCAGATCCGGTCCGAAGGTCACGAGCGCAATTCCCGGCATCGACAGAGCCCAGTAAGTCGTGTTCGGGGTTTGAGGTAGGAAGAACACAGGACCCATTGTATTCGCGAGCATTCCGGCGATGAGGATCCAATGTCCGGGGACTAGATGTAAGGTTTTCGAGACGGTGTATGTGGCGAGGATGCCGCAGATCATATTGGGGATAAAGTATAAGGCCACGGTGATGGGAGTGTGGCGTTGGATTGTAAGGAGAAACCGCACGGCGAAGAACATCCATCCGCCGACATATGCTCCATACCCGAGGAAATAGGAGATTGCAAGTGGGAGAAATCCCGCGGTGGTCCAGAGCCGGTTATCAACGAGCGGTCGAGATGCTCGTCGTTCAGCGAAGTAGAATAGAACAAGAAAAAGCGCTCCGACAATGATCAGGATGTATGTGTATGGGCTCCAGCCGCTGGGGACGCCTTGCGTCAGGCCGAGTATAATTAGGCCGCAGCCAGTCGCCGCCAGGACTGCGCCGAGCACATCGAAGTGCTTCAGCGATAGCTGATTACCGGAGGCACCGGGTCTCGGGGCAAATGAGGGGATACCTGAAAATGAAGCTACGGCACAGATGATGCACACCATGGCATTGCTTCCAAATATCCATGGCAGGTGTGCGGTGAGGGCGCCGCCTTGTAAACAGCCGATCAGGAAGCCCACGGGCGTCATTGCGGACATGACCGAGAAAACCCTAGTTTTCCGAATCCCAGGCGAGTACACGCGCCCCAGCAGACTCATGGAAGTTGACTGCAGGACACCAATCGCTAGCCCCTGCATGGCCCTGACCACGAAAAAGAGGACAGGCAGGGAAGGGCGGATACTGAAAACGCCCACAACATTCCAGATAACGAGCCAAACGAAACCCATTATCATTAGGAGTCTCGGGTCTGACAGATCCGCCAGCGACCCGGACACAATCACAGCGATGCCGTTCGCCAGCAGGAAGGAGCCAATCAACCAGGGAGTATTGCTTTCGCTGACCCCGAGTCTGTGAGGGAATACAGCCTGGTTGATAACGACATTGCCGAGAAAGAGGCCAAATAGGAACAGGCCCATAGAGCAGAGTAGGATGAATGTGAACTCGCCCGTAAAGCCGCCGAACTCGGAGGGAACACCCTGTGGGCGTCGAGGATGCACTTCGGTCTCTGCTCCATGCCGCGCGGGAGCGTCTTCGAGGTCCAGGGCTGCCGAGGGACGGTGGACTTGCGGCATGTAGCCGTGATTACACTCCTTCGATGCATTAGTCATATCTGTCCTGGTAGGTGGTTGCTGGACCGCGTCAGGAACGGGAGTTGGCTCTTTCTCTGGCGGACGACAATTAGTTAGGGCTAAGTAGACTCCAGGAGTAGTTGTGATATCACTACCTTGCCAGTCTGTATCCTCCACTGGAGGAGTCATGCTTGATTGTCGGGACTATTACTCGGTATCTTGGAAAGATGCTTGAAGAGACTCGCCCGGACTTTGCCGTCAGTATTTGTAGCTTTCGAGATTTATCAATCTGCACATGGAGCCTGTTTCTTATAAAGCACCAAAAAGGTTTTGGGTACTGAGGTGACCCCAACGCATTCGGTAGAATACGATACATCATTTCCGCCGATAAAGCCATTTCCCTAACCCTGAATTCGGTAGATGGGTGAGAATATATCAAGTTTTACCCGAGTTTGCTGGTTTCAAGAGTGAATGAGCGTAACGGGTGTGAGCACAGGAGGGTCGATATATCCGGGTATATGCTTGCCGCCACCGGCTATATCGCTGACTAATACCCGAGTCGTCTTTTTCATTCCCCCTCATGATCCAACATGACGTTCAGCGAATATTGCCGACATGATTGCGACATGGTGGACACAAGGGACCCTAGCAGACAGCCGACCAGATCGCGCATGCGAGCAGGAAAGGCATGTACGCGCTGCCATGAGAAACGGATCAAGTGTGACGCCATGCAACACATGCCATGCACTCGCTGCGTGCGAGATCGCCACGCGGATTGTGTGCTCCGGGAGACGAAACGTGGGACGTATACCCGGAGTGCCCTGCGTCAGAAAAGAGTGCGCAGTGATCATGAATCACGACTAAGAGTCCCGGCTGGTGTCGCCGGCGGTCTGCCCTCGCGACATATTTTAAATTATCATATCGGGGCTGAAGATCCTGAAGTACCACTTGCGCCTGGGTCTGATGTTGCGGCACCTTTCCCAACAGGTTCATCTGCTCCGAACTTAGGTTCACGAACCATCGACCATGCCCATCCTCAGACCGGCTTTGGAACCTCCAGTTCACAGGTTCGGTCTCAGGAAGGCCCGCGAGCGAGTGAGCCTGCGCCTACCCATGTTGCAGCGGAGGCTCCAGGCGACGGCTCCTCCTACCATCAAATCTCGTGGTCCGCGATGTTCGACCATTTCTTGAACAACCGCGAAAACGGACAAGACTGGATTGACAAGTGCTCGATCACTTACCTCGGAGAGTCCTTTCCCCTGTCTATCGTCTTGGGTGGCTCCAAGGGCGACAGCCGACCGAGACTACACCATCTAGGCCCGCCTTTGCCTACGGCCCTAGGAAATACACCCTTCCAGTCCCAGCCCACAAATATGTTATCAGAGGACCTCGAGTATCTCCGTGCCAAGGGAGTGTTCAACCCGCCGGAAAAGGCACATCTGAATGCCCTCATCTCGATCTTCTTGGATCACGTCTACCCGCTCTATCCGATTGTCAATCGCCAGGAATTCATCCAACAGTACAAGAACGAGCAACTATCGTTAATTCTCACCTATGCTATCAGCTTTATTGCAGTAACATTCGCTCCTGAGTCCGCCCTGAGCCTTCTAGGCTTTCAGACCCGGCCTGAGGCCCGTTTATTCTTCTACAAGAAGGCCAAAGCGCTCTTCGACATGGGATATGAAACGAATAAAATCACTCTCCTCCAAAGCACATTTCTCCTATCGTTCTACGGCGGCGGGCCAAACACCTACTGGAACTTTTACTCCTGGATCAGCACGGCTGTGACAATTGCCGAAGGCATAGGAATCCACCGCTCGACCATGGCAGTACCCAACATGCAACCGCAAGACAAAAGCCTAATGCGACGATTATGGTGGGCCCTGGTGGTTCGCGACAGCATATGCGGCACGTTGGTCGGGCGTCCGTTCCGCATTGACTTGGACCAGGCCGATGCAGATATGTTGACGATCGAGGATTTCGCGCACGATGCCGCAGCCCCTGACTTCCTGGAGGACCCTGCGACTCACCGATATGCGCAGCACCAAATCGAGACCGCGAAGCTGTCCCAGATCATGCGTGAGATCATCATCAGCCGGTTCTACCCCGGAAGACGGCCCGTGATGTCCGACGAGCTCGTTGAAAGACTGGACCGGTGGAAAGCAGATCTGGTTCCGACATTGACCTGGGATGCCGAGGTGCCGGATCCCTCGAACCCGTTCTCCACGGCCCTGTCCGTCCAATACCACCACCACCTGATCTTGATTTATCTCGGGCACAGACGCGGCGAGGAGACGTGTCGCCGCGATGAGCGTGAGGTCGACGAGATCATCGACACCGCCGCACATCATATTTCCACCGTGGTGTGCATGCTCGTGACGCGATCGGCCGTGCTCAGCGTGCCCCATGAGCTATACCACGGGATCTTCCTCGCGCAGGCGGCGTTCTATGAGCGGATGCGGAGTTCGAATAAACTGGTCGCGCGGCTTGGTCGGTCGGCGCATAACTCCTGCCAGATGGTTTTGAAGGCAATCAGTGAATTCTGGGATTGCGGGACGTTTATCATGCGGCTGTTTGATAATTTGTCGAGTCGCTGTTTGGAGCAGCAGTCGCGGACTACCGAGAGTGGGCAGGAGAGCCGTGCTGTGGGGGCTGCTGAGGCTTCTGATGTAGGTGGCACTGTGAACGCTGCGAATGAGGCGGGCATTTTCAATTTCAATGGTTCGCTGGGGGATGATTGTTGGCAATGGAACCCGATGCTGGAGAGTCTGTTCGATTTACCACCGGAGCTTTTTTTGGCTGACTAGCTGTGGTTGTCTCCCTTGTCCTGGCATGTCAGAACATAGCATTGGTGTAAAGATCCTGTCACAAAATAGATCTGTGGTCGGGAAACCGAATCCGGAGCAAGACGGCCTTTTGACAAATGACTCGCAGAAACTGATACCCTGTCTATATGCACGGCTATATGGCTGACAGATGGTTACGCCCGGTACAGCCAACAACTCAAAACCACCTCCCACTGTTAGTACCTGATGGTCGCTTTCATGATTTAAGATCCACCTTCGGTGTTTTATATTGTCGCACGGCATACATCCTGAAGCATAACACCCACATTTCCTAGAGGGTTTGGCTCACGATGACAATCACCCATATTGTCTTTTTTCAATTCAAGCAGGATGCGCCTGTTGAAGCAGTTCATGAGGTCTGTTGGGTTCTCTTCCTCCTATCCCCATCATCCGTCCCAAAAGTAATGTAATAGCTAATAAGCGTCCAGGCATGCAAGCGAATGCTGAGTCTCAAAGACCGCTGCCTCCATCCATCAACAGACAAACCATATATCCAATCAGCGTCGGGAGGAAAGAATATTCGCCTGAAGGTGCACAGGTAGGTCCACCATTCCTCTGGTGCCGAAGCTTCCGTGAGAAAAGATGTTGATTTCTTACTCAGGGTAGTATCACACATGCATTAATTGTTGAGTTTGCAACACACGCGGACAGGAACTTTTACGTTAATCGAGACTCTGTACATCAGTAGTTTGTTAGGAGCCTGGATGGGTTAATTGAGAGGGCTCTGGTGGTGAACTTTACTCCTGGTGTTGTGTAAAAGTAAGACTTACCATTAGATGAACAGGTTGAATATTTCAAAGGTGTTGAAGATAGCAAACAAAAGCTTGCAATCAAACAGGTTACCTAGGATGCTAAATGCATACACACCATATATATAGTATAGACAATTCACCCTACTTGTAGCGAACCCTTTATGACGTGTGCCAGAATTCACTGGGAACTAAGTAGTAGGGTTAAAGGTAAAGTCAACAAGAAATCACTATACGACTGGGAGAATAACGCTAGGTGATGTTGGCTGAAGGCCAGGAGATAGATGCAGGCCACCGAATTACTCAGAGCTTCATTCTGGCAACCTCATTGAGGAAAGGTATCTCCGTGTGTGTGCGCAGCCACATGAAGGCTCTGGATAAATGGTCTTTCAATCAGTTGCATGGTTGTACTGGGCGACGAAGTTTGTACTCAGAGTGGTCACTATCTATATAGCCCCCTGCACTCAAAGCCCCAGTCTAGTCGCCTCAGATCTTACAATCTCCGGCAACTCTTCGCTCAGACCCCTCTCCTGCGGCTTCCACCCGAGAACCTTCCTCGCCCGCGCCGCCACTCCCCGCGAGTTCATCCCCCAACTCGCCGCCTCGAATCCCGCCGACGATTTGACAGCTTCATCAATCGACCAAGCCCGAAGTTCAGGCTTATCACCCTTGATGTACCCCTGTCTGAAGGTCTCCTCGCCCACAGCAACCGACAGATCACCCCAGACATGCTCCCCATCCTCAGCGAAATAGTACCCATGCGCTCCCCAGATCTCCGGATCATCTCTCGAGGAGGGCTCCAACGCTGCCTGCACAAGGAGCTCAAACACCCTGCTCAGATCATGCACATGCACATGATTCCATCGTGACAGACCCTTCCCGATCCGCGGGCAGTACTGCTCCTTCAAAATAAACGCTGAAAGCTCGTACACCTGTCGTCCGCGACCGGAGACCGGCCCGCGGCCCTGACCGTAGATCGTAGGAGGGCAGAGGACGGCCGTCTTGACGGAATCCGCATGGTCAATGCCCGTGTTGAGGACAATCTCGTCCACGTTGCGGTGGAACGCCGCACTGGGGAGGTTGACCAACTCGTCCACACCCTCGAGGTCATTGAAGACTTTTTCATCCTTCTCGCCGAATGTCTTCTTCACTTCCGAATCAAAGTAGGTCAGGATCCCCGCCCCCCCGGTGTGCAGCCAGAACCCGGGTCGCGCGGCGGAATGGCCCTGCACCAGACCCTTGGCTATCGCCGTCGCGGCATCGGCGTGGTCCGATGAGTCGGCAGTATCTGTAGCAGGTCAGCACGCCTGACGTGGAATGTATGCGGTATGGAAAACGTACGGATAATGATATCGGCCCACGCCGCTTCACGTTCCAGCAATTCGAGATCGTCATTGCCGCCGATGACAGTGCGGGCTGTGGGATACGCGGATTTTACTTTCTTGGCCTTGTCTTCCGAGCGGATAAGCAGTGCGTACTCGAACTTGGGATATCGATGGTAAACTTGGTACAAGGCATCGCCGCCGATGTAGCCGGTGGCTCCGGTGAGGAAGACTTTGACTGTCATTTGCCGGTGTTGATAACTGCGCTTGATGAAAGAAGGAGCCCAACAAGAGACTTGAACCAGGTGGTTTTTCTTTAATTTGAGGGCTGGATAATCCTGTGTATCGCAAGTTCATTTAAGAAGCCCGCCCTGCACTAAATGACGTAATAGCGGAATGTATATTCCGGTGTGGCAATGGCTGGCATATAGCCGAAGGACAGGTGCGTTTTCATATAGCAAGGCGGACCCCCCCCCCCGGGTCAATGCTAATTTCAGAGTTTCGGGTGAATGAATGGACAAATTGGCATCATTACGCATGTCTTTTCGAATTGGGTGCACAGGTGGCTATGTCTGATTGGCTACAGAAATTGTACCTTTTGTGCCTCATCCATCTGCAGACAGATCGAGATGTTGTATGTCGTTAGTAAGCTCAATGGCTTATTAGCAAGGCATGCTATTGACGTAGTGTTGTCCGGCGGAGAGATGGCTACGAGCTTTGAGGCAGTTAGAGATCGATATAGATAGGTTAGGACTAGGTATTGGAAAGGACCGCAAAGACCAAGGATCAGACCGCACCAGACCGAACCGCACCAGTCTTTGGTCCTGAGTCTGACTGCACCACTGTGGTTTGGTGCAGTCCTGTAGCCTTATAAATAAAATGTATAGCTAGTTTATATTTTGTTATATTTTAGTTTTATCAGTTGTTCTTCTGTATTCTTATCTTCTTATTTAAAAGCCTAGGCTGCCTTTTTATTTTCTAAAATATGTTTAGCTTTTTATTAAACCTTATATTTAAGGGGTAAATGGTGAAAAAGTGTGGTAAACAAATGCCTTTTGTAATAGCCAGAGTAGTAGTATTATATCTTAAGATATTATTACTAATTTTTTTAACTTTATAAAACTACTGCAGTTTTAGGTAGTTCTACAACTATATTACTTCGCTATTATATAATACTTATTTTAAATTTTTATATATATATATATAACAGTCAGGTTAAGCCACTCTATATATATCTGGCTCTGAAAAAAGCCTCCCAGTCCTTCAATTCCGGATGAACCTCTCGCAGCGTGTTGATATCTGCTTTGTAGCCCTCCTCTTGCATCCAGTTCATCATCTTGCGGACTTCAGGCACGCCGTACCGCAGAGCCTTGCCAAACAGGCCGAATGTAGTCTCCATTCTACGTCCTGTGACTTTATGGAACGCTGCATCAATCTGGTCAAAGGTGGCTTGGTCCCCCGCCAATCCGATGGCCTTGTGGTTCCAAGCCTCGGGATTTTCAAATGCCTTGGCTGCAAATACTCCAATATCCGAGACTGCAACCCATTGCATGGGTCGTTCGGTGAGGTTATCCCGGACCATAGTCATCAGGACTTTGCCGAAGAGATTGGGTTCGTAAGTATCCATAAAGGCCACCGGTCGCAATATTGTCCACCCCATCAAGCCATTTGTTCTCGATATTGAGTCTCGAAGATGCTGCTCAATCTGATGCTTGTTTCGGAAATGCGGGATGGTGGTCGGATTCTGCCAGGAGCGCTGCACCCCTCCCCGTTCCACGGAGGAATAGACAAAGAAGCTGACCCCGGCACGGATAGACTCCTCGATCAGCGTTACACCTTGTTCAACCTCTTGCTTTGGAGTGACATCTTTGCCCATGATAGCCTGGACGGAGAAAACTCCCCAGATGGGGACTGGCCCGGCCACTTGGCGCGCGGCACTGAAGAGCCCGGAGACGTCATTCAGGTCACCCTGCACAATTCTAATCCGCGGAGACTTTTCTCGTAGGCCCTGAGCTCGATTTGATTGACTGTCTCGAGTGACACATAACAGCAGAAAATCATTTTGGCTGCTGGCCACTAAAGCTTGGACAACGGCTCCGCCTTGCTTGCCGGTGGCCCCGGTGATGAGAACAGCTCGGGACATTCAACCGATCATGTCAAGAAGGTGAGATTAAAAACTTATCGCTGCGTAAAGTTCGCTTGTTGAATGATACAAGATATTTGAAAGTGGCAAAAACTTTTCTTAAGCACTTAAGTCTAATCAACGCATTTGTGAATTACAAATCACCGGCCCTCGGGATTCGTTCTAACCCCGAGCAGTCATCCACGGCCTGGTTAACGACTGGGCTCATATCGTATTAATAATGAATTGTATGTAGCCTTGTAGATGTGAATCCACATGCCATAGGATTGTACAGTATATGGCTCTAACGACCCTGAAGATGAGACGTCTTTGGGATAGGTTAGATGCTCAGGTCGGAGTAGGCCTAGGAATGGTGCGGTCTCTGGTCTTTGCTTATATTACACAGGACCACACTATAGTCCCCTGCAGTCCTAGGCGGTCTTTACTCTGGAGTACCGCTTCTGTATAAATATACTAAAATCTTTTATCATAATAACTAGATATTATTAGCAAGAGTTTAACCATATACTACTGTAAAAGTAATAGCTAAACAAAGTAAGTTAATACTGTATTTAAATAATATCTCTGTATCTATATAGACTATTTATAAAACAACTAAAGCTCATAGCTTTTTTAGCTAAGTTGATACTAAATACAACTTACTTTGATATAATTAACATAACTATATTTTTTATAAACCATGTCCCCTTTTCTGTATCAACATTAATTGTAGTATCTTTTCTACATCAATATATCAACTATTTCTCCCCCCCCCCAAACACGGAAGCGATTCTCTACTAGTCGTTTGGACACGAGAGGTGGCAGAGCAATTCCCGCTGTACTTTATAATACGCAAAGCAAAACAATCCAAACAGGAGAAAGGCCTTGCCGGAATCAACTGCTCACAGTATCGTTGCAATGGCGCCTCAAACCCATGCAGCGTTAGATCGTCTATTTAAGTCAAATAAGCACGATGATGTATCGTACAACAAGCACCCTAGCGCAGATTAGGAACAAAGAGCGGCCGGAAGGTCGCGCCGGGGAATTGCATCCTGGCAAAGCCCTTTTTCAAAATTAAAATGAAAGAAAGCAGAGCGAGTGACAGGTATATTCAGCTACTCAAGAGGCATGGGTATCAATGGCGACGAAGCAGAGAGCAAAGGGGACAAAGCTGGCGGCCGACGAAGCTCGACGAGGGCACGCAGCCGGCAATAGCAGTCGAGGAAGAGCTCATTGAGGGGGGTCATCTTGGAGCTGGAGACGGCAAGGACGACGCAGCGCTCGTTGATAAAGAAGGTCAGACGTCCGTGGACGTCCGGGAAGACGGCCATGCCAAGAGCGGTGGTCCAGAGGCTGGCTTTGGGGGCGTAGCGGAGGCGCGTGGCCGGGTCCGTGTGGGTGATGCTCGTGTCGAGGTCGCGCAGCAGGGCGGCGATGGTTTCGGGATGCCAGGGGAGGCCGGGGTCTGCCAGCGTGTGCAGGAGGGTCATGGACAGCTGGCAGGTGCGGAGGAAGGAGGTCTCGCTGCTGCTCCAGGTTGAGTCGTCGGTCGTGGTGGATTGAATGACCGGGGGACCGTTGTCCAGCAGTGTCCACAAATTGGAGGATTCACTGGGTTGCGCGAGGGCTTGGAAGAGGTCCTGGATGTGCTCGAGGACGCGCACCAGCTGCAATTGTAGAGTGAAGTCGACTCTCGAGCCGCCCCGGTGCAATCGGTCGAGGGCGAGGCTCGGGAGGCTGTCGGGTAGGGCTTCATCGGGGGTGAAGGGCGGCGGCAGCGCGGAGTCAGTCTGGCCGAAGACGACCATGGGCAGAACCATGTTCATCTCTATCATCTCGGCCAGAATCCCGTCGAATCCGAGTTGTTTGAGCCCTCCTCGCAGGGCTACCAAGCGGAGGAGACCCTGTCGGTGGGCTTCGGTCGCATCTGAGTCTTTTTCAATGGACTAGACATAGACAGCATTTAAGCGGCCGCAACACTTGGCAGACATGGTCAGGTACCGGGGAATATACGTACTCCGCTTACTACCAGAAGCAGCACAGAGGCTATCGTCGCATCGCCCATCGAGCCCCCGCGGACCAGACGACGATTCAGCAGCCGAATCGCATTGGTCTGATGGTACAGGGTGGCGTAGTTTGGGGCGGTGCTTTGCGCCCCATGCATAGCGTCCATCTCGGCCGAGGCCGTGTAAAGCGTCGCGTGGAACAAACAGGGATCGGTCAGAGCGTGGCGGATCCACGAAGACCGCAGATGATACGCAATGCTATTCTCCTAGACCTGTAGAGCCGCTAGCCCCATCTGCTCCTGGACTAGGGTCGATTTATAAGCTGACTGTCTGCCGCTGCAGGGTCCCTTTGTTTACTTACAAAATCATATTAACCCTGGGATATAGGTTCTGGGTTCGATTGGATACGTGGGTTGCAGGTCCAGACTTCGAATCATCGATGCGGACGAGAAAAAATGCTGGGAACTCAAGCATTGTGTTCGGACCGGGTCATCGTAGGTGCAGCACGCATCCAGCCTCCGGAGGGTGTCAGTATGAGCACGAATAACACGTTCGGGAAGACGAAGAACCGGGCATCCGACGAGTTACCTTCTGCAACGCCCACAACCGGGGTGTGTCTTGTCGCAGGATTTCTTATGCAGCCGACATCTGCGACACGACTTGCGACCCCGGAACGAGAACACCTCAGCGGTGACTAATGCCGGATGGAGGAGAGCTGTGGGGACGGCGTGCAGCAGTTGTTCATGCCGGATGGGCACGATGCTGCCGTAGACCCCATTGCCTCCGTACAAGCACGGTTGGGATGATCTGAGGGCCCGAACCGTTTATCATCTTAGTTTCCATCTAAACCCAGGACTTTCTTTTTGCTTTACGATCCTCTTACTTCTGGCATCGCGAACACGCAGGCATCAGTCGGTCGCATTTTCTTTTCTTGGTCCGGCAAGAGAAGCACGACTCGCTGTATAGTCATGATGAGGGGGTGACATGGTCACGTGGAAGGGTTGGTTGGGAGTGGAGGATTATTTGGGGCTTTTCAGTTTTCAGCCCGGAGAAAACGTCAAACTTATATTACGACACTAGGCGATTGAAAACAGTACGCATAATTACCAAGGGGAGGAGCCAAGAGAAACGAATCCAAGCCAAGACTCCTCAGAGTGTCTAGTTCCCGGTCAGATCTCGCCCATCAGTATCGGACGGACGCGACAATAAAGACAAACAAACGAGCGCTAATCAAACTCAAAGTACTCGTACATCGCAGGAACCACAAAACAAACAAAATCAAGCGGATGAGATCCCCGGCTTATCCCGCACATGCTCCGCCTGATCCAGGGCCGCCTGCTCGACCACCCACCGCGCCACGTCGCACCGGTTGACCCCCAACCCTAACGCCCCGTCACCCACGTAACCCTCCACCACCCATCCTGGCCCCTGATCCTTCAGAAACCCGACCCGAAACAACTTCCACTCTAGATCTTCAGCGTCCTCGTCAAATGCCCTCGCCACCTCGATAAAGTTCCTCCATGCGCTATGCCCTAGGACCCGGAGCATCCCCACAAGCAGGCTGCAGGGGAGGCTATACCGGTCCCGCGGGTGGGGGACGCTGAAAATACTCAGCGCGAGGATGCGGGAGACGTGCGCCTCGCGCATCAGCCGGAAGATGCGGCGGTAGAAGTCCGGGAACGGAGTGTCTTTTATCGTCATTCCAGACGGGCCCAGCACGGAGACGATGACTGTTTGGCCCTGGATCGCGCGACGGAGTTGGGCTTCATCTTGGAGTGTGCCTTCTAATGTCTGGTCTCTTTGTAAGCTGTTTCCAAGGCAGTAAAGCGAGTAAGACAAAAGTAAGAAAGGGGGGAGTCGAGTTAACGTGGTTTCCTTACTGTAACCCAGCGTTCTGGGCGTGGATCGGCAGGGTCCGACGGCCATAGATGGTAACTTTCCACCCGGTCCGGAGGGCCTCGGCCACAATCTGTTGGCCCGTGGGGCACGATGCACCGAACACCAGCAGCGATCTTAAGTGGGATGACATCTTCTGCACGGTAGCACAAATGGGGAATGTCTATTGTGTATGTTATTTAGTTCAGATGCGATCCATCGCCATGATGTGCCGCGTTCTGTCCCTATTTATGTCTGTATTTTCCCCCTATGCGCTTCCCATCGGGTAGCCCTGATCGGCAAAAGCCCGCTAGCGCCAACCGCAAGTGCATCGTCACGGCCTTGCCATTCTATCTAAACCACCGATTACGTACAGTGTAGTGAGTGCACTAGCTGTTCTTCAGTCTTTGTTCACTTCATTTGTCTTTTTTTCACAAAGCTGGGATCAATCGTCGGATATTACATGGCAGCTGTTATTTATAAATACTGTTTAGCTGATACTACTTGTGGTAGATGATATCCCGAGAGATAGGAAATATAAATACGCTTAAACTTTTCCAACTAAAATTTTGTTTTGAAGCGTCAAAGCTAGAATGACAAGACGTATGCTGTTGATATTTCACTAATGTAGAGCACTGCTGCAACAGATCTCTGTAAAAAATGGCAAAGTCGATCAGTAATATATTTGTGTAGTATATAGCGCAGTTAACAGCCACATTAGAGTATCTCAATTGTGATTGATAAGTAAATTTAAGCAATCTGCATATTCATATCAGTAAGTATAGTATATTTGAAAATGTAATCATTGAATATTTTAGCATGAGTTTTACCAATGATGATCATTTATCAGCCCTGATGATTCATACCCCTTTCTACCTGTCTAGCTGCAGCGAATACTGTAAACAGTGTTTGGAGATGCTTTAGTTCAAAAGTTGCATGTAAGGCTCACGAGGTACACCTCAACAGTGGATTTTCGTTTCTGTTAGTCCGGAGAGAACAGTAATTGATATCCGCAACTACCTCGAAGATCCCGAAAGCACACTCAAGCGTCTTCATTCACCAGCCTCCAAACAGCTACACCAGCCGAAGGGATCTCAGATCCGTTATTGCCTATCAACAGCCTAGCTCCCTCAATAGCAGGAATCCTCGCAGATTCCAACCCGTAGTTGAAACCCCAGAGCAGAGATCGCCTCCGCGCAAACCGCAGGTTAGGTCCTAGGTCACTATCGCCGCTGACCTGGCGTCCCGCGAAGTCGGTGATATTCGCCTCCTTGGCGACATCACCCAAATAGGACAGGAGCAGGTTGACGGTAGGATTGACACCAAGGTAGTGAAAGCCGTTGCTGGCGCAGCCCGCCGGCTTGCCTTCACGGTGCGGGGCAGTGTACCTCAGGGTCTCGGCACTGGTGCGGTTGTCCCGCGCGCACACTACCCACTCTTCCCAGCCGGAAATGTTAAAAGTCTTGCCGGCATACGAGACTCTGTTACCTGCGTAATCGGGTGGTGTCTCTATACGGGTGACTTTCATCGCAAGACGATTGCGGATCGGCCCTTGGGCGGGGGCAAGGCCGGGCAAATAGCTGAAGGTGTCTGTAAGGGAGCCGGTGTGTGGCCCCAGGACGACGAGTCCGCTGTATTCAGCCAACGACTGTTCGAAGGCCTTGGGAATGATGGGTAGACTCGGCACCACAACTAATTTGTAACCTTGGATTGGCTGGTTTGGCGAGATCACGTCAACGGAGACACCCAGGCGGCGGAGCGCGGAGTAGAATTTGTAGACGAGATCCAGGTAGTTGACGGCTGTACCGGTATAGCTGGTCGTGTCAGGACTCCAGGTGCCACTGTAGGGCTCGATGTCCCAGACTTGACTGGAGATATAGTCAAAAACAAGAGCCACATCCGCTTGCTGTTCTTGGTATTGGTCAGTATCAAGCGCTTCCACTAACACTGGGAGATCTTCGTTCGCAAATGTCTGCACCTCGCGAAAGCCTTCATCGGCGGCATCGTCGGAGGTAAATAAGCCGGAGAGGGTTTGCTCGGCTCCAAATGGAACCTGCCGCCAGCGGAAATAGGACACCATGTCTCCGAGATCGGCGAATGTCTCGTGTGTCCAGAGGCGTACCATTCCGCTCAAGGGCGACACCCGGTAGGGACTCCAGTTCAAAACACCGGGTTGCATCTCCATGATGCCAAAGGGGCCGGCTGTTTTGTTGTAGGCCGCCCCCGCAACGCCGCGATAGAGGGCATGATGCAGCGCCTGCCAATCTGGCAGACCAGTGTAAAGATAGTCCGCCTGCTCTGTTTGGGAGAGCCAAGAGAATGTGCTTGGCCCCGACAGTGGATATTCATCAAACGTGGCAAGATCGAGTCCCACCTCGCGGGCGAACTTGAAATGGTCGAACTCGAGAAAGCCCATCATCATGTTGGTTGTGATGAAATGTGTTGGTGCATACTGTCGCAGGATCTTCGATTGCTCCTGCGCGAACTCGATCATCATGTCCGAGCTGAATCGGTACCAGTCGAGAAGATGGCTAGGCGGTGGGGTGTAGACTTCCATGAACGGGGGGTGAATCCCATCGAAGTTAGTATACTGGTTCGACCAAAACACACGGCCCTGGGCGGCATTGAGGTTGTCGATAGTGCCGTATTTGCCCTTCAACCATGTTCTGAACCGCTTGATAGCATTGTGATCGTAACTCTGCACGGTATCATGGCATCCAAACTCATTGTCTAGTTGCCAGCCCGCCACAGCGGAATGATTGCCATACCGCTCGGCCAGTTTCTGCGTAATCCTCTGGCTCATTCGACGATAGTCAGGCGAGGAAGAGCTATAGTATCGACGCGAACCGAAAAGCTTGGTAGCATTGGTGTAGTCCACAAAGCTAATGTCATACTTTTGGTAGAGCCAGTCAGGCGGTGCTGCCGTTGGTGTCCCGATGATCGCTTTGAGGTGATACCGTTGCAGCAAATTCAGCGTTTTGTCAAGAAGAGTGAAATTGTACTGCCCCTCTGCAGGTTCTAGAATGGCCCAGTCAAATTCGTTGATCCGCACGAATGAGATGTTGGCCCCGGACATTTGAGCGATGTCGTGTTCCCACATGTATTCTGGCCATTGCGAAGGATAATAGTCGACGGCCAGGTGAGGACCGTTTGTCCAACGGGTGAGGGAGGGAGCAAACGATGGCTCTTGCTTTGATGTGGCATTAACAAGATCGGCGACTGTCAGAGCCACAACGGCCACCACTTGATGAAGGAGCATCGTGACAGATGAGCAATGCAGGTAGAGGATGAAGAACCTGTTTTTCTGGAGGGTCTCTCACTGGCTTAATAAATACAGTGGACCAATTTGCAAGAAACAAACCACAAATTAACCGACTGAATTGGTCTCAATTTAGCCGAAGTGAAGTGGTTTGATCGCCTCTACAAGACAACAGTAGGCTACGTATGATCCACCAGTGCAGAGATTCTGAATTGTTTACGATGTGGGGAACCCAGACCTACCCCGCATACTGTGTATTCGGTACACTTCCGACCCGTGCACTTTCCGCCGGCGAGTCGCCGAGGACACCTTCGACTTGGAATCATGCGAGCTAACTCCCTCACGACGTCACCTCCATGGCATTTCAATTCGCCGAGATGGTACCTTGTCGTCAATTTGCCCTTTTCTGTGCCGCCCAAACACGGGATTTGGCGAAGCAAGTCCTGAAGCATCCTTAGCCACGGGCCGTGCTGTTTGTTCACCGAGTACGGCGGACTATTGCGGCCATCGGGCAAATGAGTTTTTGCTTGGTATTTTACCGGCAGAATTAATTCATCTCCTAGATAGGCTATTTAAGTGAGTATTTATACATATATAAAGCTTTTTAACTTACTTAGCTTCACCTTGCGGCTACTAGTTCTAAGTACTATAAAAAAATATAAGTCTTATCCAGATTACTGTATACAGATATCCCGTACAGCTGGGGCGTATAAAAAAATAACTAAAAAATAAATATACCTTAATTAATTTTAATAATTTTATCTGGAATAGTAATTACAGGAATCTTTTTAATATCTTTTTTTTTTATAAAAAAAAGCCGGTGGGCAGGGACCAAAACAATTTTTTTTTTTTTTTTTTTTCTTTTTTTTCTTTTTCTCCTCCTCCTCCTCCTTTTCTTTAATTTCTAGTAAGATTAGATTTATACGGGCTCCCGGAGCAGGCAACCCCCTTTTAATAATAAAAATAAAAAAATTAGCCGGTTGTACAGCCCCCTATACTAAACTTTAAATAAAATAATAAGATTTTATATCCGGCTATTTATAATTAGTATATACTCTACTAAATATATTAGATAAATAGCAGTATTTTAAAAAGATACCAGCTTTACTAATATAGCAGCTAGTATAAGTTTTAAATAAAAGTCTTTTTAAAAACTAGATCAGCAGAGTATTAATATAAAACAGCTAATATAAAATAATTTAATAAGCTTAGATCCGGCTGTATTAGAACTTAATATTATATATTTTATATAAAGTAAGTATAGTTTTTTTTTATATTAGTATAGATATATAGAGTAAGTATTTTTAGATTACTATAAAAAATTACTAGATTACAGCCCTCCGGGAGCCTGTGTCATGGGTAATCCCTGAGGGCATGCTGAACCACCAACAGCTTGCCTATGTATCCCTGACAGAAGAGTTGTGATGTTAACAACTTAAAAACTACTTCCTCCAGTATTTAACTTCTAGAAACTTACTATACCTTTGGAATAGCAAGAATTAGTTTTAAAATTAATAGACTGCTATTATTCTATATCTAACTAACCTATTTTTCTTTAATAATTCTAATTCTTTTTTTTTAATTATTTATAGGATACAGTATATTACAATAATTATTATGTTTTAATAGCAGTTTAGAGTTGGAAACTTTTCCTACTGCTAATAGTTTATTACTTTTATTATTAGATTCTTTAGTAGAGGATCTTACTGCAGTTAGAGATATTATTAGCTAACTATAAAATTATTAGTAGTTATAAAAATAAGTTACTAAACTATAATAGAAAATCTAATATAATAATATTAAATTATAACTAACCTGGTAATAGAAAACTTTCTTACTTTTAAACAAATCTAAAATAAATATTAAAATTAAAAATATTCTGTAATTTAAACTCTTTTTTTAAATCCAAAAGTGTTAGAAGTGGTTTTATAATTTAGATTATAATTTTTAAAAAGTACTATTTAAATTTTATAATAACTATTATAAGATCTTTAAGGCTGTAAGCTATATAAATACAACCTATTAGCAGAAATAGTACTATTACTTTAATAAATTATTATTAAAATATAAAAAAAATATTAGCTATTTATAGCCTGTTTTTTTTAAATAAATATTTTTTTTTATTTAAAATACTACTATCTTTAAATCTGATGTGATAAGCCAGTTAGAATAAGTATAACAGTAAAATAACTAAAATTCTTATAAATTCTATACTTATTTTAATACTTTAGAGCAATATTTTTTTAGAGCTACTAAAAAAAAATACAGCTATATCTTCTTTGTAAAATTACTTTCTAATTTTAGTTACTATATTAAGAAATATATATATTAGCTGTCTGAGCAATAAGATAAAATAGTATCTTTTATTATTTATTATTAAAATCTATATATACAACAGTAAAAATATAAATAGGGATCTGATATATCTAATATATTTTAAAAATATCTATAATTTTATAAGAATATCTAATTTTTAATTCCCAGACCCAACTATACCAATACAACTAAAAGACAGTTGTAATATTTTTTATATAATAATACTAAGCATCTTACAAATCAATATCTTTAAAAAAGAAAAAAACCAGTTTAAATTTAAGAACTGTAAGCTAAAAAAGTTAATATAAAAAAATAGAATAGGCTGAGGCTAACTCTCCTGTCTCAGCCCTATATTATAAAGTAGAAACAGCTAATAAGATATTAATACTAATACAAATTCCTTATATTAAAAAAATCTATATAAATATTAATAGTTATATAGTATGTAATCTAGTTAGTATTATATTTATACAGTAATACTTTTTTCTAAAATCTTTAAAGTAACTGTTTTGGCTGGAAGCTATTAACTATACTTCTATTACCAGCTATAAAATATAGAATATTTCTTTAAATATTACTAATTTAAAAAAGATATAATATTATTTTATTAGATTATATATTACTACTAATTAAGATACTCCAATCCTACTTTCTATAACTACTCTACTTAATTATAAAATCTATTTATTACTATAAAATAAGAAATAGTGGTTTAAATTTAATAAAATCTAAAAGCTAAAATCTTAGAATTTTATTAAGACTTGCCAAAACTATATTTATATTTATACTATTATTAAAGCTTTAGAAAAGCTGTGGCTTTTTAGTAATAATAACCTTTAGTAATACTACTAAAACAACCCTATTCTAACAGAACTAGTTGAATTTTCTGATGTCTTTTTTTCTGATTAATCTAAAGTTTTTTTAGAATACTATAATAAGAACTATACTATTAACCTTTTTAAGGGCAAATTACCGCTGTTTGGGCCTATTTACCCCTTATTAGAATAAAAACTTTCTATATTTAGAGACTATATTAATAAAAATACTGTAAATAGAAGAATATATTTATTTAAAAGTCCTGCAGGGGCTCCTATCCTTTTTATACTAAAAAAGAATAGGAGTTTACAATTATATATGGATTACTGTGGATTTAATAAGATTATAGTTAAAAATTAATATCCACTGCCCTTAATTTCTGAGATCCTGGATTAGAGTGGATTTTGGTTGAAAAACAGGTTAAAAACCAAGCTCTTAAAATCTGTATTTGAATATATATTCTATTGTATATTTATGTTTTCAAAATGTAACTTTCATTGGATTTTATTTTTATTTATATTTTACA